TTTATAAATTGATTGTGCTTGATCAGTTTCCTTAAAAAGAAGGTTTGTTGACATTTTTTTAATCCTTTAAGATGGTTATATGGCATAGGATACAGACTGGTGGCCCACGGGTGGGATACAGTGTAAAGACATATTTTGTTTGGCAAATTTAGAATATTTAAAATTTTTAGAATTTAGAAATTTAAAAGCTACAAATTAGTTCCTTAACATTTACAAATTTGAGTTTTTCATATAAAATTCCCAGGTTTCTACCTGGGCTTGAAAAGTCAGAAAATCTGGCCGAACGAGGCCCACTGCTGCCCCCTCTAGGCTAGGCTGGCGAGCTCCAGTTTGCACCTGCCTGTGGAGAGTTAGTCACCTGTTTTGCCTTCCAGGTATGTGCATTTGCACCTGCTGCTGCAGCAAGTGACAGTGATCCTAATTTCGAAAACTCGCTAAAAATGTGTGCTCCTCTAGGAACAAGGCATCACTTATTGGGAGAAAAAAGTAAAATCTGGCAGCTTCTGTTGGAAGGGAACAGAGACAAGTTTCACATGTCCTTTTTCCCTTAAAGTACGTTAGAAAGCTCTGTTCGTGTCCTGTTCTGGCGTCAAGTGAGTCCATTTGAAATTTTTGCTTAGTAGAGAAGTCGGATCTATTACAAGCATAAAGTGTGGCCTGAGTGACTCGCTCACCGTTGTTTTCTTTTTTTTTTTTTTAAAGATTTTATTTATTTATTTGAGACTGAGAGAATGAGAGAGACAGAGAGCACATGAGAGGGGGGAGGGTCAGAGGGAGAAGCAGACCCCCCGCCGAGCAGGGAGCCCGATGCGGGACTCGATCCTGGGACTCTGGGATCGTGACCTGAGCCGAAGGCAGTCGCTTAACCAACTGAGCCACCCAGGCGCCCATCACCATTGTTTTCTACATAAATGTTAACGACAGAAGAGTTTTCTTTCTCATTCTGCCTATGTTCAGTTAAGCAGGTGTTGGTGACGCTGTCATTGACCCTCCTGTTCCTGAGCACACCCTGCACCCCGGCCTGCCACCGCTGACCTCCTCAGTGGTGTCCTTGATGGGCGCCTGCTGCTGGCGCTGACCTTGTACTGGTCTGCCTGGTTGCCCGTGGCCTGCCAGCAGGAGCACAGTATTACACCTGACCTTTGGGAAGTGTGTCCTGTGGACCCCGAGCAGAGTTGGCCCCCGTGCCACCGCTCCTGAGCCTGATGCCGGGAGGGATTAAGTGATTTGTCTCAGTCACACTGCTCATTAGCCGTGGAGCCAGGATGAGAGCGTCGACTGGACCTGGTCCAGAGCGCGGCAGCCTCCGTACCCGTCTTGCCACTTCATGGGACACGCATCTCTTTCCCGGAACAAGTGCAAACTTGTAGTGAGGGACTGTTTTCATTTCAAGATGATGTTCAGCCCGTCAGTGAATATGGTTTGTGATTGTTTCAGTTACGGTTTGGTCATGTTTGGGGTTCTGTTATTCAGTTATTCCTGCACATGCTATGGAATTCTATAACTTCAGCAACTGGCATTTCAGACATTCCACGGATACATTTTCATTCTACTGTGTAAGCTCAGGGACACCGGAAGTGACTAGGGAGTCATTCGGTCAGAAAATAGTTGAACGCTTTTGAAATGTGTGTCTGTGCCCGGTGTCTCTTTTGGTTGTAATTATATAAGCTACTCGAGATTTGTCTCCTGAGTTTTTGACAGTACTCAGCAAGAGCCAAGAAGAGATCTTGCCATCTGCTTTTGCTAAGAAAAGTGTTTTCTGAGTTATCTTTTTGGGCTCCAGTTATTTAGATGTTGGATCTTTCTTCCTCTGTTAAGTCCCTGTTCTTACATCTCTTCTCACATGTTCTGTTTTTGTCTTTGTTTTTTTTTTCCCTGAAAAATTGCTCAATATTTTATCCGTCTTTAAAAAAATTTTAATATCAGCCAATACATTTGACTCGTAAGAGCTGTTTTTATTTCTGATTATTCCTTTCATTGCATCTTCTTCTAGTTTTTTTTTTTTTTTTAAGATTTTATTTATTTAATTGAGATAGAAACAGAGCACAAGCAGGGGGAGAGGCAGAGGGAGAGGGAGAAGTGGGCTTCCCACTGAGCAGGGAGCCCGACGTAGGGCTGGATCCCAGGACCCCGGGATCATGACCTGAGCTGAAGACAGACAGGTAACCAACTGAGCCACCCAGGCGTCCTCATCCTCTTCTAGTTTTTAGGGCTATGCCATATTCACTCTAGAATACTGTTTAGAGATGATTTTTCTGTTTTTTAGTTTTCCTTTTTTCTACATTATCCCTTTTCTCTCTGGGAGTAATTTTTATTTTCCTTCTAGGGATCCTGTTTATTTTGAATTTCCTTTTATTGTTTTATTTAGGCTTTGCTTATATGTTTTATGATCCTTGGTTGTCTGTTCAGTATAAAAATGAGGCACTATGAAGTCTGACAAGGAGTTCTCAGTGCATTGGGAGGACTTGTCAGCTGGCGGGCCTCATTCAGCTGGAGCAGATGGGAACATCATTCCTCTGAGGAAGCCCTCAGTGTCAGATGTGGAAGCCTTTCCTCTTGGACACTTGTGTTTTTGTTAGCTGCTCTCATTTCCTGGGTAGTTCTTTTACATTCTGTAGGGAATGCCTCTGTTTCTGTTTTGGAAGTAGGAACATGTCAAGGTTGAGGTCCTAAAACAGATCTCTGATATAAACAGACCGTCTATAAACAGCCCATAAACAGTAAATCACTGCCTCCTTCTTTATGTACCCAGAGAGGATTTAAGTGGCACCACCACCCACCCATTGTTGTGTTTCCACCAAATCTGTAGCCATCTTTGCTTCCTCTCCTCTCCCTATAATCTCCCACAACACACTAAATACACTTACACCATTACCGCATGTGTGGCTCTCCGCTAAGTGCTTTACACATGTTTACTCTTTCAATCTTTACAACACACTTATGGGAAATAGAGTTATCAGTCCCACTTTACAGATGAAGAAATTGAGGCACAGGGAGAGTAAGGCCTCATAACGAGTAGCAAAGCTAGGATTCAGCCCCAGTCCATTTTTGTTTTGTTTTCGATTTATTTAAATTCAAGTTAGCATATATAGTTAACATATATTGTATTATTGGTTTCATGGATAGAACTTAGCGATGCATCAATTGCATATAACGCCCAGTGTTCATTATAACAAGTGCCCACCTTAATGCCCATCACCCATTTACCCCATCCCCTTACCCACCTCCCCTCCAGAAACCCTCAGTTTTTTTCCCATAGTTAAAAGTCTTTTATGGTTTGCCTCCCTCTCTGTTTTTATGTTACTTTTTTTTTCCTTTCCTTACTCTACGTTCATCTGTTTTGTTTCATAAATTCCACATATGAGTGAAATCATACGGTATTTGTCTTTCTCTGCCTGACTTCTTTCACTTAGAATAATACCCTCTAGTTCCATCCACGTGTTGGAGGGAATGCAAGCTGGTGCAGCCACTTTGGAAAACAGTATGGAGGTTCCTCAGAAAGCTAAAAATAGAGCTACCCTACGACCCAGCAATTGCACTACTAAGTATTTATCCAAATGATACAAAAATAGTAATTCAAACGGGCACACACACCCCGATGTTTATAGCAGCAATGTCCACAATAGCCAAAATATGGAAAGGGCCCAGATGTCCAGTCCATGTTCTTAAATCACCACACTGCCCTGCCTGTAGTGCATTGGGAAGACCCTCCATCTCCAGAACAGATCCTGAATCTGACCATCTCTTCCACCTCTGCTTTTAGAACCCTAGTCCTCACCACTGGTGATCTCACCTGGACTCTGGTTTCCCTACCTCTGCTCCAATCCCCTAGAGTCCACCTTCCATGTAGGAGCTAGAGAAATCTTCCAAAGGGCTGATCAGATACGGATCCCCCCCCCCCCCCCATTAACATGGTTGAGAGAAGAATCCACTGTTGTGTTTTAAACTCCGAATCCTTTCCGTGGCCTGGAGGCCCCCATGGCCTGACCAGCCCGCTTTCTCTGGGCCGGGCCCCTCCTCCTGACCTTTGAACCTAGTAGGCTTGTCCTTTGTGTTTGCTGCTGCTTCTCTTTGTTCCTCGCCATCTTCTCGTTAGTCAGGCCTCAGCTCAGGTGACACTTTGACTCACACTCTCACACACATCGACTTCTTCTGGTTTTTAAAGCACATATCAAGATCGTAAGTTTCTTAGTAGTTTATGTATATGTATCTCCCACCTAGATTCCAGGCTCCTGGAGGGCCGGGATTTTGTCTGGTTCCGTGTGCACCCCCAGTGCTGGATGGGGACCCGGCACTTGGTCGGCTCTCTCTGGTCATTTGCTGACAAGTGTCTCGGGAGCTCTTAGGCTGAACAGTGCCCGCCTGCGTTGCAGCCCCCTCCCCACAGCGCACTGGCTTCAGTCCCTGCTCGCCTACGTGTGTGGACATCTCTTACCTACCAGTGGTCCCTCTCCCGTTACAGTTGTAGTGTTTGTTGCACTTGAGTCATTTGTGTGTATTGGGACCTATTTTTGCCACATCTGCGGACCCCCTATACTATTATTTATCCTAATTTTTTCTTCATTTAAATTTACGTGAAATAGAAACTTTTATCACAATGTAAATGAATAAGAAAAATATTACTTGTCATGAATGACTATATTAATTGAAATGTCATTCCATATATCATTGAAAGTTGTCAAAACTTCAGTTTCATGCACTGCTTTTCTGTACTGTAGTAGAAGTATTGGAATGGAGAGTTGAGAAATAGGTGTTTGGTTATAATCTTGAACTTGAAGCCTGTCATTTGCAAACTTATCCTATAATGGATCCCTAAAGCAACAGTTGTGTTGGATTCTTCACATCTCCTAAAGCCAAGGCAGCTTGAGTCTAGAGTCTGCAGAGTTACTAATGTACAGTATGTGTATTTGTCGGTATCCACTTTCCATGTTGCTGTGCACAGTGCAAGAGGTCTCTTTGCAGCATGTTGAACACCATTTGCAATTCTTCTCCTCATCTAGGACTGACTGCTTTGCACGGATGATGAACCTTTCCTTACGTTTGAGAAGACCATCCTGGATGGTGGATAGTAAAAGAATGGGGATGACTTCAGATTTCCAGTGGCTCTTATTAACATGTATTCTCCTATACTTAATGAACCAAGTAAATAGCCAGAAAAGGGGTAAGTGCATCTGAGCCTTAGAGAATGAACTGATTGCAGTGTCGTTGCTGTTTTTTTTGCCATTACTATCTTGATTATGAGGTGATCTTGTATCTTTATCAGACCCTTCCTTCAGGTTTTTTATGGTTAAAATCCATTTCGGGGTGCCTGGGTGGCTCAGTCGGTTAAGTGGCTGCCTTCAGCTCGGGTCATAATCCCGGGATCCTGGGATCGAGCCCCGCATCAGGCTCCTTGCTCAGTGGGGAGCCTGCTTCTCCCTCTGCCTGCTGTTCCCCCTGCTTTTGCTTGCTCTCTCTCTCTCTGTCTCTTGCTCTCTCTGTGTCAAATAAATAAATAAAATCTTAAAAAAAAAAAAAATCCAGTTGTCATCTTTTTTTTTTCTATGTACTCCTGTTCTCTTTTAAAAAGGCCCATAAAGATAGATCTAAATAGTCTTTCCCCAGAAAAAAAGTTAAGGTATAATTTACATACAATACAGTTCACCCATTTGGGATAAAATTCTGTGAGTTTTGACAAATGTGTACAGTCATGTGACCACCAGCACAATCAAGATACAGAACACTCCCCACTCCAGAAAATTCCCTATGCTCCTCTGTACTCAGCTCCTCTCTCCCTACCTCAAGCCAGCACTGGCCTAGTTTCTGTCTATAATTTTGCTTTTCTGAATGTCATATAAATGAAATCGAAATCTCTTTCTTTAATAATACGTTGTGTTCATCTTCTTTAAATATATTAAGAGTGTTTGTGTAGATGTTATTACCTAGCTTATTTCTATAAAGAACATTATCATCCTTCTGCCCCTGAGTTTAGTTTTTATCTTATTTTCATAATTAAACAGATCTCCTCTTTTCCCCCGAGATCAGTGTTAAATAACTTTAGTATGGTTACTGATGATTTCTAATGTGAGTGCTTCTAATGTTTTTGTCTGCTGTCATGTATAAGTAGCTTTGTAATTTATTGCTACTGTAAATGTCATGCCAGTCGTGTAAAAATTTAAAAAACCTTTTCAGAGACATTTATAGAGAGAGTCTGAGATGGAATAACCTTTTTTACACTCTAATTGCTTTATTTCCTCCCTTCTTCCCTCTCCTCCTTCCTTTTTCCTTTTGTTCTCCCTCTCGTATCCCTCCTCCTTTCTTTTTATTCTCTTTTTAGCATGACAGTTTTTCATTGTATGGTGCGCATGTATTCTGTGACCTAGTAGTGTTTTATAGGTATGAATAAATACTATTAGGATTACAGTCTTCTAAGTTATTACTTGTCAGTTGTTTAGGCCTACACAAAAGACATATTTTTCAGAGACTTGTGTGAGTTCATTACTATTTAAATATAATATGCTTCACAAAAATTTTTTCAAAGATTTTATTTATTTTTGAGAGAGAGAGAGAGAGACTGCAGCAGGGGTGTGGGCAGAGGGAGAAGCAGACTCCCTGCTGAGCAGAGAGCCCAGCACAGGGCTAGATCCCAGGACCCCCAAGCCAAGCCAAAGGCAGACTCGACTGACTGAGCCACCGAGGCACCCCTGCTTCATACAAATTTAAAGATTGGCTGTGGGGTTTCTATATAGGTGGCAGTCTGGTAACAGGCAATGGGGCAGCGTGGCTAGGAGTGCTTAGAAGCTGTGTTTGTGGCATGGGAAACACGTAATTTTTACTTAGAGTTACTTTATTCGGGGGTAGGAATGGGGGCAAATGGGGCTATTGGAGATAAAATTCTTCCAGGCCCTCTCTGGGTCTCGTCCTTGACTCCCTCCATTTATCTTAGTGGCTGAAGGTGGGACTTGGATGGAGGCTCAGTCCCTAAGTGGTCTAGTGGTTGGCCCACTTCTGTTGGTTTCCTCTTATTTTTATTAAAAAATAAGCTACAAAAAGAAATAGAAAACCAGTCCCTTCTGTGACTGCAGGCTCATCCCTGCACAAAGAACATGGATCCTGTGCAGGCGCATATGCTCATACGCATGACTAAAGGTGGTTTGATATGTTGGCCTTTCATGGTGCAGTTAAATTATTAAGCATGTTCTGTGTGTGTTTGTGTGTGTGTGTGTTTCCTTCTCCAGGGGCTCCTCGTGATTTGAAGTGTATAACTAACAATTTGCAAGTGTGGGACTGTTCTTGGAAAGCACCCTCTGGAGCAGGCCATGGTACTGTTTATGAAGTTTGCATCGAAAACAGGTAATAGAAATACTTTGGTTAATGAATAGCTATAACCTAAAGGTCTTTAATATTAGAGCATAGAGATTTGCTTCTAGAAATTTTTAAATGAAATTTTAAATCTTAACTTTCTATTTCCTAAAAAATCTGAATCTTATATCAAGGGAAACAAACCCTTTTCCTGGCCAAAACTTTGTGTTATATGTATGAATATTGTATAGAACACCCCTTTCATATGCTGTGGATTCTGATCTACTATAGGGAAGTTTTACTGGTGTGTCCCAAACCAACATCTGTCTAGATCAGTTGGGTTCAAGTTTTGACTCTGCCTAACAGAATACGTCAGGTCTGGAATAGGCAGTTCAAGGCTGGCATGGTGGTTGATAAGAGACCCAGGTTCCTCTCCATCATGGTGCTTTGCCAGCTTTAGCATGTGATCTCATGGTTCAAGGATGCTTGAGGAGTGGCTGTTATGTCTGCATTCCAGAAGGCAGTGAGGAAAAGGATGCTTTTTTTTTTTTTTTTTTAAAGATTTTATTTATTTGACAGAGACACAGCAAGAGAGGGAACACAAGCAGGGGGGACAGGAGGGGGAGAAGTAGGCTTCCCACCGAACAGGGAGCCCTATGCGGGGCTTGATCCCAGGACCCGATCCCAGGACACTGGGATCGTGAACTGAGCCAAAGGCAGACGCTTAACAACTGAGCCACCCAGGCGCCCCGAAAAGGATGCTTTCCTTTAAGGAGACCTCTAAGAAGTCCCACACAACACCTCTGCTTACATCTCATTGGCAGAATTTAGTCAAATGATGAAGCCTATTTGCATAAGAGGCAGGGCAATGTGCCTGGATAAACCGTGAGTTTGAGTTATTAAGGGAAAGGACATTAGGAGGCCAGCAACAGGTTCTATCACCCCGCCTTCCCCTCTCAGGTAATCTGGGAGAGGACCATAAGCTCTGAAGCCTAGAGGTGAGGCCTTTGGGCTCTCTGCAAACTGGAACATTCTCTTCCCTTTCCCCGATTCCAGCAGGGCTCTGAGTGGTTTGGCAACACCTGAGTTGTTGAGCATGGCAGCTCCAAGTCCCCTTTTGCTGATGGGTGGCCCTCATGTAAATGGACATAAGTGCGCATTTAAATATTACTTGGGTGTTGTTTTCCCGTTTGGTATAGGTTTACTGAGCGTTAGTCTAAGCCTTGTGGTATATTTGTCAACCAGGAGGAGCTTGGTTGTGTTGCAGAAACAGCCCTAAAATCCTATTTCCTTATTTTCTGCTGTGAAAATAAAGGATTATTTCCTGCTTGTGTTCTGTGTCCATCTTGGGTCAGCTAGCATCTCTGCCCCCAGCCTCTCCTTGGGGCCCCAAACCTAGGGGTCCCTCACCCTCCAGTGCATGAAGACAGGAGAAGGAGAAGGGAGCACAGCCTACGCTGGCTTCCAGAGCTTCCTTCCGGAAGAGACAGATGTGAATTTCACTCACATTTCTCTGTAAATAAAGTCCCATCGCCTGCCTTGCTTCAGCAGGAAGTACAGTCCTGCCTTGCTTCAGCAGGAAGTACAGTCCTGCTGTGAATCTAGAAGGGGAGAACCTGAAACATTTGGTAAATAGCATGAATGACTACCTTAGGCCACACAGAGAGGAAGTTGTTCTGGCTCTGCAGGAGTTCACAGAAACAAATCACCGTGGGTTAAGTGCTGACGGAAATTATATGTGAAGGGCTGAGGGGGCATTGACTGAGGAGTGTGGGGCCCCAGAGAGGCTGTCCGAGGTGTGATTGTGGAGTGTGAAGACCCAGTTTCTCAGAAAAAGGACAGAAGGACATTCCAGCCTGAAAGAATATGAGTTCCATGGCATGAACTTACAAAATTGAATGATTTAGCAAGTTCAAGTGGTTTTGTGTTACTGGCACCTAAGGAAGCCTCCCCCTGTGAGGGTGACAGGAGGTGAGCCGACCTGTTTAAGTCGGAGTCCGGAGTAAATGTAAAGAGGTCTGCACGGGGTGCTGGGCAGGGTCACACGAGGCACTGCCGAGTCCCTCTGCTTGAGCTCTGATTGGCATGGGAAGTTAGAAATGTACATGAAGGACAATAAAAAGAATGTAAATGTGCTCTGTGAAGGTAGGGCCATGGAACCAAGGGGGAGAAAACCGACTTTTGTCCAAGAGATATGGGTGGGGAACTGGAAGAGTTTTGAAAGCAGAGTGGAAGAGAAAGTGTTGTTCACATTGAACCTTAGACCAAAACAGAGGAGCCGCGGACAGATTGAGGGTGTGTTTGAGGGCCACAAGCAGCCAGTTTCATTTCTCTCCTCAGTATCTGTGGGGCACCATCTCAGCCTGAGACCGCATGATGGTCTTGTATAAAGGTGCAGGGCTGTAGCCGGGCAGGGGTGCGCGGCGCCAGGTAAGGCTGCCGAGGGAAGGTTGGTGGGAGTTTGAAGGGCATGCTAAAATCCCGAGCTTCTTGAAATAATCATCTCAGCTTATCACTCGACTTTCTGGTACAGTCTGGTTATTCATCCTCCGCATTGATGCACTTACATTACCCTCTCTTTTTTCAGTCTTTAGATGCAGCATAACCTATCATGTTTTTGTACGGAAGAACATACTTTTCCAGCACATTTTGTGCTAATCATGTTTTTGCGAAAGTTGCACTATTAATTTTATCTGCTAATTTAAAATTTGATTTTTTTTTTCTATTGCAGGTCTCATTCTTGTTATCAATCAGAGAAAACAAATACTCAAATCCCTGCTCTTTTACCTGGTGATCATGAAATAACAATAAACCGTCTGTATGATTTTGGAAATCTTATAAGTAAATTCACACTAAATGAAAAAAATGTCTGTAAGTATTTGAAAAGAAAATTGACTTGAAAATAACTCAGCACCGGGGTGCCTGGGTGGCTTAGTCGGTTAAGCGTCTGCCTTTGGCTCAGGTCATGATCGCAGGGTCCTGGATCGAGCCCCAGGATCTACTCAGTGGCGAGTCTGCTTCTCCCTCTCCCTCTGTGCTCTCTCTTTCTTCCACTCTCTCTCAAATAAATAAAATCTTAAGAAAAAACTCAGCACAGTGCCTTTGTGCTTAGTATTGCAGTGCTTTATAATTGGCAGAAATTTACTCTTCTCTTGAATGTCAGTTATTAGACTAATGCTTGCATTTCCCCAGCAACCATACTGTGGCTTATAGAGCGCAGCCAAGATTGGGAAGGAAGCCGACTGCCGTCTAGTCAATCAAAAGTAGATGTCACAGAGTTCACGATCTTTTCCACATTTGGATACTTTTCTCATCACCTGTTCGCCTCATTGATTCCTCCATACCTTTCAGAATTTCTCAGGTGTCCCGTGCTCTACGAAGTGGTCTTTGACCATCCCTATTCCTTTCTTAACATTCCCTTAGGTAATGTTATTTCTCCTTCGTGGCATTTCTCACAGTTGCATTACTAATGTATTATGTCATAAGGCACTTACTGTGTGTTGCTTCCGCAAGAAAATAGGTTCACATAGGGCAGGGAGTTTCTCTTCCACACTTAGCACCTAGCCCGCTGCCTCCCACGTGCTGAGCATCTTTTACAGATGTGTTGATGGAGTGCCTACGACCTAGGTTACAGGCTGAGTGGAGTCATGAAATAGACCCAGGCTGATGGAGATGGAAATTTTGCTACACAGTGAGACCTTAAAAACCCCAGGAGCCTTGACTCTTAATGGTGGGGGAGGCAGGTTTGTTTGCTCCTGACAACTATTATGGTGTGGCATCAGAATGATATTATAATGAGTCTTATAAGGATGACTTACTTTGAAACAAGGGGAAAAATATAATTAACTTGGTGACCTGTCCAATTTCATAGATGAGATGCCTGTTTGGAGTGGTCTGTGTCTGAGATAGAACAGATTCTGAAAGGATAATAACAAAGCAAGCTTTCCAGGAACTTCCCATCTGTCTCACTGCCTTTCAAGATAAAAAGGGGAGCCATGTTTGTTCTTTTCTTTGTGTAGCTGGATGTGAGATCCGTGTGAGAATGTTTTGTACAGATCAGCCATGATCTCAGTACCCACAGAGAAATACTGCTAACACTTAAATTTATTTTCTATGCGTATACATATAAGCAGTGAGCTTCGTATTACTTTATAATCTGCTTAACAGAAGACATAGATTTTTTAATTTGTTACCTAAATCTGTATTATTTTTATAGGCTGTGTAGTATTCCACTGAATGGAGGTACCATGATTATGTTAAGTGATTGATTGTTAACATTGAGATTTTTATTTCTGGTTTTTCAGTATTATAATCAATGCTTTAATGAGCCTGTTTTGCACACATATGTTTCCATTTCCTTAGGCTAAATTCCTAAAATTGGGAATGCTGCATTAAAGATAATCCCCTTGTTAGGACTTTTAATATCCATTGCCAATGTTTTTTTAAAACTTCCGAGTCTCTTTGCGTTTCCACAAACATCCTATTAGAGGGGCTCCCTGTTCTTTACTTCTTGCTAAGACTAGGTATTGTCCATTTCTCTTAGTTTTGCCATTTCAATCTGATGGCCCCCCAATTATAGCACTTTGTTTTTGCATTTCTGTGATTACTTCTTTTTTAAAAAGTTATCATTTTTATTCTTTTCTGAACTGTCTGTATCCTTTTTCAATTTTCTCGTGTTGAAACTCATCTTTTCCCTCATCGGTTCATAAGAGCTCTCTATATTATGGTTATTAGTTCTATCATATTTGCTACAAATAATTTTCCAAGTTTAAAATTTAAACTTCCTGGTTTTCATTTTTATATAAATAGAATCTTTCACTATTTTTTCTTTGAGCTTTTGATTTTGTTATCATGCTCGATTTAAATCTTTTACTCATCTGCAATTATTTTGCCGTAAGGTATAAGGAATCTAACTTAGTTTTATTCCAGATTTTTAAAAAATTCCCCAGGACTCTGTGAGAGAGCCAGATTGTGTTGTTTGATTTTTCAGCAGGTACTGAGAAGGTTCTGCCTGGGAAGCTACTTGAAGATGACAGTGTTTGACAGAAAGAATTAGAAGGGCAAATCAAGACAGATTCTAGATGACTTACTAGATGCATAGTTCATTGTTTTTACATATCATGTAATTTGTTGATAGCATTTTTAATAATACTGGGTTTGATTATGATTAGAATATTAGATTAATAGTATCTCAATAATAAGATATTACTATTACTACTATGATAATACTGATAAGAAAATTGAAAAGCAAACTAGATGAATATAAAAAGGAGGTGGATGCATCAGCAAATCTTTTGAGTACCTACTGTTTGGGAGAAGGTATGAAATGATAGTGTACCTGTGCCTTAGAGGATCTGGGATTTTGGCAATTTGCTACTGAATTAAAGTTTGAGAAATTAAGTTTTCTCCAGATGCTTTCAGCACTATACATATAAAGCAAACAAGGTATTTCATCTTCTAATTGACAAGGGCAAACACTGAAATAAGTCTTTGTAAGACTTCTAGTGTCTAAGTTTCTTAAAATAACCTGAAAATAAGATCTAGCTGAGACAGAATAAATAATGTGGATCCTATAAATGAGCTGGGAAAGCTCCCATCCTCTGATGTTTAAGTAAGAAGAGAATGGAGGTTATGAGTAAAGATGTACTAGCTTTAAAAAATAAACAAACACAAGTGATTAAATTTATTTCCCAGCTGAAAAGTGTCTTCCAGAAAATACTGTCCTCAAGTGTCTATTTTAGCTGGAAAGAAATGCAGATAATAGTTTGTGGGATCTTAGGGAAACTTTACATTTTACTGCGAGGAAGTATACTATGAAGTATGAAGTGTACTATGTGCGTGTGTTTAATCCTTTCGTTTGCATAATTGTGATTATTACTGTCTTTTGGCTTGAAATATTTATTGGCTATGACTTGTGTTTTGAAGAATAGCTCACTTCTGTTTAGATAAAATGTAAATTACGTGTACTTTCCAGGGAGGGAGCATTTTGATAGATAAATATTGCCTTGGTGTAAATGCTCCCAGGTTTCATAATTTTTAAGTTACCGTATCATGACAGCCTGAAGCATTTGAAAGAACCGTGTTCTCAGAAGCCTTTGCTCTGTGGTCACACTGGCACCTTGCACTTTCCCTCTCCTGGCACTAAGGCAACTTCTTGCTCCTTCTGTTTTTGTTTATGTTTTAATTCCAGTCAGTCAACATACAGTGTTTGTTATATTAGTTTCAGGCATACAATATAGTGGCTCCTTCTGTTTTAAAAGCAGCTCCTACTTAAAACTTGTCCTATAAAGCATCCTCCACTGTCCTTAGTTAGGTAGCTGTGAAGCCGTTGCCTTTGCTGCATAGTGTTTAGTTGAAGCCACAGGTACTGTTTCCTGTCCAGCCAAAGATACTTCACACAGATCCCGTATAGAGCACTGTGGCCAGCACGGTTTAGTTAAATTTAAGAAGAACTTGTTTTTAATTTCCAAGACTAATTTATATTGGTTTGCTCTGCCGTTGTTGTTACTTAGCACACTCAGCTACCCTACCTCTGTAAAGTCCTGCAGTCTGGGCTTGCCATGACTCCTTTAACCGGCCCTTGTGCTTCATGGCGCAGGGCTAGGATAGGGATGGGCCGAGAGCATGTGTCTCTGGAGTTGTCTTAACTTACCTTCGCTTACTGTGATTGGAAGAGAGAACATGCAAGACAGAGTCCCCATCTTGTCTGCCCTTCATACCAGAAAGCCTATGTTTCATACCATGGAACAGGCTCACACCTTCCGTGTTTCTCATTGAATAATTTACTCATCCCTTTTAGGTAGGGAGACTTGAAGATTTTAAAGAATACCTTACTTTTTCTGCCCCCCTCCTTTTTTTTTTTTTTTTTTACCATTTCTCCCTGTAAACTATATCTTTGAGCATGGTTTTTTTCTTTACCTTTTGTATTACAGCTTCAGAGCCCTCTGCCCTCCCAGACTTCTTTATCACCAGTGACAGTGCTGGTGGTCTTTTCTCACTTTTCTTCTATGAACTCTTTGATTTGGCCTCAACGACAACCCATTTCTTTTAGTCTCAGCAGTGCCGGATCTTCTCTGGTTTCCTTCTGCCTCTCAGGATTCTTGCTGGAGTTCTCTGGTTCCTTGAAGGTGTGACTGTCTATTGGTAGTTCTCAGCTCTCAAACAAGCTTTGGCTGTTTTGAGTCGTGCGTTCAAGCCTCTTTCTTCAGCTACACTCAGCGAGTTCCTCTTGAGTCTGTGTCCGTGGTGCTGATGGGCCCCGTTCTCACTCACTGTCAGCAGACCCCTCCCCTGACCTTCTGTCCCTTCCCTGACACTTGGTCATCAGTAGCCTGTCTCTCACATTTCTTCACAATGTCCGTGATTCCTTTTGCCTGCTTTCTAGGCTAGAAACTTGAGGATATCTTAGATGTTTCCCCTTCTTATTATACTAGGCCTTCATTTCTTTGATCCTGTCAGTTCTTTGAAATGCCCATCAGAGTTTTTCCTTTTCCATATCCTTCATGCACGTGCTGATGTGTCATGATCCGTATCCTTGCTACTCTGGTCAGCCTTTCCCCAGTGGTCTCCCACTTAATCACCTTATCTCTCTCAGAGCCCTACCTAGAGCCCCACCTTTCTGGTGGACTTCCTATCCTGCTGAGTACTCCCACCTCTGCACAGTACCCTGTTGGCTCCCTCACTCAAATGCCGTGGTCATTCCTGTGGTCTTGCTGCTGTTTACAGATACCTATACCAGGAATGGCTCATAGCATCCCCAAGTGGGTGACTTCTGCCAGCATCAGAGAAAACAGATGGAGATCTCTACGAGAGCAGGCTTTCCGCATTCCATCATTTTCTTAGGCCCGACCTACAGTCATACAGAGGAAGCTCCTTTACTTCTCTCTCATGTTGCCTCCTTATAGATTCCAGACTGATGACACTAGAGTTTTGTAGGAACCCAGTGGCTATTTGTATTAGAAGACATATTAGGATTTGATAATAATTTTCTCAGATTTGATGGATGAATCATTGGGGACTGCTTATGCAAATAAATATATTCTCTTTTTTCAGTAATCACTTTGAGAGTTTACTTTTTTTTTTTTGAGAGAGAGAGAGAGAGCGTGCATAAGGCAGGGGGAGGGGTGGAGGGAGACAGAATCTTAAGAGGGCTTCATGCCCAGTGCAGAGCTGGATGAGGGGCCCCGTTTCACGACCGAGATCATAACCTGAGCCAAAATCAAGAGTTGGATGCTTAACTGACTGTGCCACCCAGGCGTCCCGAGAGTTTGCTTTTAGTTTTTGATTACTTTTTGATCAAGAAGGAATAGAGTTTTAAATTAGTTGATTGATGGAATTACAATATGAAAAATCATTACTTACTTTACTGAATCATGTCTTTTGTTTTCTTTTTTTCAAGCCTTAATTCCAGACACTCCAGAGATCTTGAATTTGTCTGCTGATTTCTCAACTTCCACATTACACCTAAAGTGGAATGACAGAGGCTCTGTTTTTCCATATCATTTAAATGTCATCTGGGAAATTAAAATTCTACGTAAAGAAAATATGGAAATTGTAAAATTAGTAAGTTTGAACCAAAATAGATTTTTTTTTTTTCCTGTGACATTAAAGAAACCAAGTAATTTTTAAAAGATTTTTAAGGTGGTATCAGTGAACTTTTATATTGTTAAGGAAGTAGATCAGATATCCTTTCAGGGTTCATTAAAAACTATGTGCTATCACTCCAATCACCTATTAAAATAATGTATAACTTAAAATAATGTATTACTTACCAATTATAGTAAATTTAGGAAATTAAGGGAGGAATAATCCATGATTCCACCACTTGGCCACAGTAAATGTTATTTTTGTGTTTCTGCCCAGCTTTTTTTATGTGCATGTTTTCACATAAATGAAATAAATGTATACATATAATTTACTATTACTTTTACTTTTGTCTAATACTATAAACATAAAAACGTTTTGAAACATATTTAGTCATAGTAATTGTAGAGAAATTTTGTATACGCTAAGCTTGAATTTTTCTGAATCTGAAATAACGTTCTTACTCTTATGCTTTTTTTCTCTTATTTTTAAAAAAATTTTGTTGCTGAATGGATTCCTTATGATCTGTCTCAGTTTTCTCTTAATCTAAAGGAGAATGGGGAATAGTAGTGAAATGTTTTGACAGCGGGTATGTGGGAATTCCCTTTTTTGTCCTTTTACTCTTTTCCCCCTCAATGGATTTGAAATACGCTTAGTTAGAGATTTAAGAATTAGAAGACTATCTCATGATTTTACGGTTATTTGCCCAAGTACATAGGTAAGTCAGATTGTAAAGATAAAAAATGGGATGACTCTGTATTTCACAGTTGTTGTCTCGGTTTTCCTGTCTGACACTGTGTATTACATTCCCAAGTGAGTGGCAGCCGTAACTGTAGCTAGCGTGCACGTGCGCACGGTGCTTCCGTTGCTGATGGTGCTCTCAAAGCTCCCTATGTGGCCGTTCCGTGCGTCCTCACCACAGACCTGCGAGGGGGCCACTGTCAGCATCATCCCCATTTTATAGATGAAGCTGTAGAGACACAGGAAGACATGAAGTGGTGGAGCCAGGACTCTGTGCTCTTTCTTAACCACTGCAGTTTCTGTTACAAAATAGATATATTTGTTTTTGTACAAGATGCCTTCCCTTCCTTTACACCTGTGCAAATTGAAGGTACTCTTCAAGACCGAGTCACATCTTACCCTTATTTTAAAGCCCATCCTGATTTCCTCAGCCTAAAATGCCCTCTCTTTTCTTGAATTTTAATGGCAGTTCTTCCCTGTCAATCTAATTTGGAGTTAGCTTTGACACAGCTCTGCCACAGGTGTCTTAAAACTTGTGCTTATCTAAAATTGTACTGTGTAGCTCTTTATGATGGCCTGACATTCTGTGCTGGGTGGGTTACCACTTAGTGGCTTCGGGTAACTTCCCCAAACCTCCTTTTTCTCATTTGTGAAGTGGTGTCAAGTATTTACTTTAGTAAATGATACCGATAGCTATAAAGCTGCTAAACACCTGCTAGTTGTCATCACTTCCTTTGGGGGCTAAGGGATGCTAGAATAAGAGGGCTACTCTTAGAAGTGTACGTGAAATTAAGCATAAAGAAATGGAAATACTCTTTTTAAGGTATGCTGTAACTCATTGCCACAAGATGCATCACAAGATGGCAGTGGCAAAGTAGTACTTTTGGGGATCTGATCTTTGAAGAAGAATCTTAATATGGGGAAATACAGCACGGGGCCAGAAAAATAGAAATAGAACAAATGAATTTTTAAAAAGTGAAACATGAGAGGGCAAGTGATGCAGGTCTGTAGTAAAATGTGACCTTTCTGTTTGTAATTATATGTTATTAATACCATTATTTAAGGCAGAGTTGCTTATGACCTGTCACTTCGCTATTATTTTGTGATTGTGTAAGAATCAAGACTACTGCACGTTGGTGTTTCAGTTAGAACTTGACGGTTTCTGCCCGTCGCCTCACATATGGGCATGGAAGCTGTGCACTGCAGGGACCAGGATAGGAGTGACACCTGGGAGCTTTGCAGCACCCTCAGCCCCTCCCATTTTGCTCTCCCTGTAAACAACAAGTTTCAGTTCTTTTAGCTGTTTCTTTTATTATGTATTTCCATTGTCCAGATAGCATGCTTATGTTGCTCTTCCTTAATTTTTCTTTTCAGTTTTGAGCAGCGTTTTATTGCAACAGTGGGAGATGAGAATTTAGTCCCCTCACCTCCTGGCCTGGGCACGCACACTTGCATGCTGGCGTGCTTGCTCTCTCTCTCTCTCTCTCTCACACATTTCCCATCTTTTTCGTGTATTCTGTCATTCTGTGATAATGTTTGGTAGACTGGCATTCATTGTATTATAGTTATATAAACACTATCCACAGCTAAACCAAGTAGCATATGCTATTATTTTCCTTTTTGGGGGCTACAGCTTCTTGTATTGTCTTGTATTTTTAGTTTTATTTTTGTGCCCCATTAATTCAATCCTAAATTCTCTCCAAGTTGTATGAATCTCCTGTTGAAATGTTCAAACACACTAGTATTTTATCAGCTAAATGTTTGTGAATAGCTCTCTCTGAGGCCTTCTGGCTTACCTCTCAGCCCTGCTTACATAGGGTTCACATAGGTATAATGTTGGTAGAGCAGGAGTGTGGTAAATAGCTGAGGACTCTTGTGGCCAGAGATTTCTCAGGAGCTCCAGCTGTGTCCACTCCTACCAGCCAACCCTAGGTTTGAAGAGATTAATACCTAGGTCTACCCATAAGCCATTTAGGACAAATCTCTGTTTTTTCCTGGCACATTTCTTAGGAAGCTGTGGACCAGGGGGTCTCCATCATCATCCAGGGGATTCCTTTTACCTTTTTCTTGTGATGGATCCTCTTTTTCCTGAATTCTTCCTCTTATTTCCTCATTTTGGTGGAAGCATATGTTCTAGTAGGTATTTGCTATTTATTATAAATATTCTGTGCTACCTATAATGGTAGCTTGCAGATATACTTTATTTTTTTTTTAATTTAAATTGGTTGCTAACAAAATTTAAAAGACTGTCAATTCCAAATATTGAGAAGATGCAGAACAATTGGAACTTTCATACACTTCTGATGGGAGTGTAAAATGCTACCTGATGAGTTTATTAAGATGTGACATTTCTAAAAATGTCTATTTTGCACTCATTCATGATTGCTACTTTAGCTGGGTATAGAATTGTAGGTTGGGGAATTTTCTCAAGATTTGGAAGACATTGTTCCATCTGCTTCTTCTTGTGGGTCTGTCTTCCTTTGTTGTACTAGACAGTCATTGGGATCCTTTCAGTCTGAAAACACATGTCTGTCAGCTTGGGAAGTTTTCTTATTTTATGTCTTATGTCTCTGATTTCTTCATATCTGTTCTTTCCTTTTTTTATTTTTTTTCCTTACAGAAATTCTCCAGAAATTGGACCTTCTAGACTGGTCCTCTCATGTTCTTAATTGTTCCTACTTTCCATCTGTAATTTTATTTTGCTCTATTTTCTGAACAGTTTTTCTTAAACTTTATCTTGCTACTATTGAATTTCTATTAATAGATTTTTTTTTAAATGTACAGGAGATCCCTTTTGTCTGTTCTGTTTGTTTTATGGATGCAATATCTCATCTCTGAGGATATCAGTTATTTAATTTTTTTTTTCTGTATAGTCTGTTTCTTCGAGTTGCTTTTTTCTTTGTTTTGATCTTTGACTCTCATATTAGAACTTTTTCTCCAATTTCTGGTCATCTTCATTGCTGCTCACATTTAAGTGAGTTGACTGTTAAATTTTTTTTTTTTAAATCTAATTGGAACTTTTGTTTGCCGTCCAGGGACTTTTGACTGGGGCTTCATTATAGGTGATTAGGATGGGCTATCTAGTTGACAAATCTTTTTTTTTTTTTTTTTTTTACTTTATTAAAATACTGAGTTTATTTCACATGTATATTTTTGTCTCCCCACCATTTCCATTTGTCTGACCACCACCACTACTACTATGTCCTATCATAACATTCCATACATACTTAAAACCAAGCAAAGGGTGGAGTTCCATCTTTAAAAACTAAACAGGCATTTTGGACAACACATTCTTGGCAATGGAACCTGGACAACATTTATCAGGCACGGTAGGGAAAGTTCTCACTCTGTATTATAAAAAGAACAGCCAGATATCAACTGTTACAGAAATGAAATAAGACGGAAAATTTTAACAAACTGTTTATTTTCTTAAAGAGACTTCCTCCACTGCCAGAGATCTTGAATAGCCTCTTGGTCAGTCATCCAGAATCAGTTCTTCACATAATTGATGAACTTGGCTTCCACTTTGGGAAGAGAACCACCTTTTTCTATACTTGCTTGCATTTTTGCTTTAATGTCTTCTACAGAACTAGGTCCTTTCGGTGTTTTGGGCGTCTTTTCCTGTTTTTTGAAAGATTCTTGACATTTTGTTCTTGGTGTTGATGGTTTTGAGTCTTTTCCATTCTGGTTTTTGTGCATTTTTGGCTGGAGTATTTCATATAGATATCTTTACTGGAGCCTTTTCTTCAGCTTCCTCATCATCAGAATCCTCATCATCATCATCGTCGTCGTCATCTTCATCATCATCTTCAACAGCAGCAAGTTTTACTTTTTTCTGTGGAACCTTGCTGCCACTTCAGGGGCAGAACGCTTTCCAGATATACTAAGGAGTTTCACGTCCTCTTCCTCTTCATCTTCTGACTCTGCATCTTCCTCCACAGCTACTAAGTGCTGTCCACTAATATGCACAGGCCCTAAACCACATTTCAACTGTAAGACCACAAGTGTTGTTATTTCAAAGCCCCCAAGAGGAACCGTTGGCTGTACAGACATTTTCAAAGTTGCCAGTGTGACTTGAATTGGACTGCCTTAATTCATTGCCTCTGCTTCAACAATGTGCAATTCATCCTTTGCACCAGCTCTTAAACTGACCGTTCTTAAAGATAACTGGTGCTCATTTTCACCATTATCCACCTTAAAGTGATAATCCTTGTCAGCCTTTAGTTCACAACCGAAAAGATAGTTCTGGGGCGTCAGGGGGCTCATGTCCATGTCCATCGAGTCTTCCATGGGGTGGTGGCACGCACTTAGGTGGGAGAGAAGGCGGACGGAGATAAACGACTACTGTTGCACAGAACAGCCATGCAGGGCGGAATCACACCAGGCTAGTTGACAAAATCTTAATACTTTTTTTTAGATTTTTATCTTGATCTGTTCATATGCCCCAGAAAAGTTGATTTAGGTTCCTACCTGGTAAGTAGCAACTCTGCCATCAGTATCCTGAGGGCTGAGTAGGAGAAGAAGGCAGGAGCATCCCAGCCTTCATAGTGCATAGGTTAGTAATCCCCTTGTTTTGGGTACAGTATTTCCCATTCTCTGCTCTTTCTGAGATTCTTCATTCCAGAGGTATTGTTTTACTTTTCCAGATCATAAATCTCCATTCTGCCAAGATGAAGAAGGGTAGTCTTTTGGTAGCACAGAATGTGGGAGGGAAATCTGGGTACCTAAAATCTCTTCAACTTTCAAGCAGTCTTCTGTTCTGCGCCTCACCTTCACTGCATTTCTAGGGGAGTCTGGTACAACCCCTTCCTGAGCCCTTTGGCATTTCCATGAGAGAAATCAGGTGATTTCTGCCTTTCCCATTGGAGGCTTAAGATTCAGCTTTCTCAGGTCTTCTGAGTCCATTAGTTGTCCATCAGCTCTCCAGTATCGAGAATTTCATTGGTGTTGTTTCTTCTGGTTTTTGCCTTTGTGCATCTATGCCTTAGAAAAAAAAATCTGTGTACTTTCATTTTAGAAAGATTTCAGAAGATAAGGGAAAAGGAAATACAGTTATTTATTTATTTATTTATTTTTAAAGATTTTATTTATTTATCTGAGAGAATGGGAGACAGCATAAGAGGGGAAGGGTCAGAGGGAGAAGCAGACCCCCTGCTGAGCAGGGAGCCCGATGTGGGACTCGATCCCAGGACTCCAGGATCGTGACCTGAGCTGAAGGCAGTTGCTTAACCAACTGAGCCACCCAGGTGCCCGGAAATACAGTTATTTAATCTGTTGTCTTTAACTGGAGCTCCCAAGGTTTCTTTTAGTAGATCTTTGATATTTTATTGAAATCCTTCCCATTTTTCACAGTTGAGATTAATATTTTATCTTATTATAAGCTGCATATAAAAACAAATCTGATCTGAAACAGTTATTTTGTTGAGGTGCTGTTCCTTTCTTTGCCTTTAACTCTTGGAAGTACAAACCCATTAATTTTTTTTCTTGATGAAAAATGGAGATCATTTTTGGCAATGGTACATTTCTCTGTGAACTGTGTTGAATGTTTTGGAATATTAACATCATGTATAATCATGCAGTGGAGCCTAAAGCTGAAGAAGTAAACAAGTGCACTGGTCGTGATGAGCACCGGGTGTTGTATGGAATTGTTGAGTCATTATATTGTACACCTGAAGCTAATATTACACTGTTAACTATGCTGGAATTTTAAAAAAAGAAGTAAACATAAATGAATCATGATTATTGTTCCTGTAACTCTCCTATTATGCCTTATAGAAAACCAAGATGGTTGTACAAAAGGGCAAGCCTTTAACTTAGTGGTGATTGTATACAGTCTATTGTGTTTTTTAAGGAAGCAGAACATACCACTACTTAGAAATCTTATTTTGTGTTTGTGTTCATTTTTTAGGTGACCCACAACACAACTGTGAATGGTAAAGATACAGTTCATCACTGGAGTTGGACCTCAGACATGCCCTTGGAGTGCGCCACTCATTCTGTGGGAATTAGATGCTATGTTGACGATCCTCATTTCTCTGGTCACACAGAGTGGAGTGACTGGAGCCCACTGAAGAATGTTTCTTGTAAGCTTACATTTAAAAAGCTTTTGTTTCTCAAATGAATTAGATTAATCTTAAGGATAAGGTTTAGTGTAAGCTTTCAGTTCTCCAAATGCCATTTGGCTTCATGTGGGTCACCTGGGGATCTTCCAAGTCTCTGTCCCAGAACGTTTTGATTCAAAACTCTGAGATAGGATTCAGGAATCTGTATTTTTAAAGATCTTCTGAAGGGATTAGATAAACATCCAGGTTTAAAAATCACTGTGGTAGGCATTGAAGAACATTTAAAAATTTTATGTAGATGTTATTGAGATCAAGTCTATATTTAAAAAAAAAAATGGCTCCTAGTTTCTTGCCCACAGAGCAGATCCCTATGAGCTGCAGAGAAATGGGAATCTGTAAGTATACCCCAAATCCCAAATCGTCTGTACGTTGAATGAAACTCATATGCAGGTAGAATGTTGGCAGCGTGAGAGAGGCCTGAAAAATTGTTGATGGTGTAATGAAGTCCTTCAGAAGGCTGGTTATCATTGTAGATTATCCACTCTAGTGCCCACATGGAGAAATGGGTCAGAGGAAGGAAGGACTAGAAGCACGTAGATAAGTAATGAGGATCTTAATGCCATTCAACAAAAGACAGTGAAAGTGTAAAGTAGGGCACTTGGGTCTGGAAAGGAAAAGGGGCAAAAGGTATGAAAACACTGAAGAGACAGAATTAAAATTAGTGACTGTGCATTTGGTAACCAAGAAATAGAGCCAAAGGTGACTATAATAGTTTGGACAGCTGAGTAGCTGGTGATGCTTTCCACTGAAACAGGAAATACATGAATGACTTAGGTGGGAAAGATAAATTCATTTTTAAAATGCTGAGCTTGAGGTACTTATGAAGTTTCCAGGTAGGGATGTCTCAGGCAGTTGGAAATACAAGTTTGGCATCCAAGGGATTACTAGGAGCTGGAGATGTACATTTGAGAGTCATCAACATACATGGGATAAGAAATTGTTTAAATCTAGAGGTTACTGTACTCAGGGAAAGAGAAACAGGGACCAGGGACACATGTCTTACAAGCTTGTATGTCTAAGGGTAGGATCGAAGAAAAAGAGCCAGCAGAGTGGAAGAGAGTAGCCCAGGTGAGTAGGGTGGTGTAGAGAAGGGAGTTTTGAGAAGCTAGAGTTTAGGCAACATATCGGATGCTGTGGATGTTGAAGGCAAGGGTTACTGAGAAGTGGCCATTGGACTGAACAAATAGATCAGCGAGCCACTTTAGTAGAATGGTTGGGGTAGAAGCCAGATTGTGATAGATTAAAGACTTTTAGATAGAAAGGAAACTAGAGATAATTAAAAAGATTGGACATTTAGGAAAATAAAAGCAAAGCTGTGGCTTTAACCTGCAGAGAGTTGAGGTTAAGGAAAAAGTGCTCTTTAGGATGTGGAATACTTACACATATATTCAGGCTGATGGAAAGTAAGAAGTCTGCCCTAAATACATAGAAATCATTTCAAAGGACTGGAATTGATGAGTGACTTTTTCTTGGTATGGATTTTTCACATATGGATATAAACCCATTTTGTTTGAACCTTCAGACTTCTTAGACATTAACCTGTGACCTTGGGCATTGGCCTGAAATCCCCTCCACTCCCCCATTATCAGCCATAAGTAGATAAAATATACCTGGTTTTTATTTATTTCTTGTATATGTCTTGCTCTTTTGAAGGTCCTTTGGGCTGCCATTATTACAAAACACTTTATAGTGTGTTTTATTTACACTGGGCTATTTAATGGTAAAAGACTTCTAAAGTATTTGTAATTCCTTTTATTCTCTCTAGGGTCACCTGATTCTCAGACTAAGGTTTTTCCTCAAGACAAAGTGATACTTGTAGGCTCAGATATAACATTTTGTTGTGTGACTCAAGAAAAAGTGTTATCAGCACAGATTGGCCAAACAAATTGTCCCCTTATCCATCTTGATGGGGAAAATGTGGCAATCAAGATCCATAATATTTCTGTTTCTGCAAACAGCGGAACAAATGTGGTTTTCACAACGGAAGATAACATATTTGGGACAGTTATTTTCGCAGGATGTAAGTATATAATATTAAAGAGTACCTATTGATCTGTCTTGGGCCTCTTTAAAAGCTTTAATGCTATTTCCAGGGACATGGACAGTTCTTTTTTTTTTTTTTTAATATGAAGACACCAGAATTTTTGCTTGTTTTAAGATGAGTTCTAAGCTCGTTTTCTATATATTCGTATTTATATAACTTGTAGCTTTTGTAGTAAGATTTGAAACATCCAGCTGCTTAGTTTTAAATTCTTAGTTAACAGTTTTGCTGAGTCAAGGGTAGTTTGTGTATAATATTTCTTAATCCTACATTGTTTAGGAATTATTTCATATACGTTTGACCCTTGAACAAAATAAGTTTCAATTGCATGGGTCTGCTTATACATGGATTTTTTTTTTAAGATTTATTTATTTATTTTAGAGAGAGAATGGGTGTACAAGAGGTGGGGGAGGGGCAGAGGGAGAGAATCTTCAAGCAGACTTCCTGCTGAGCGTGGAGCCTGACATGGGTCTCGATCTCACTATCCATGAGATCATGACCTGAGCCGAAACCAAGAGTCAGGCGCCCCTACATGGATTTTTTTCCAATAACTACAGTACAGTACTATAAATGCATTTTCTTTTACGATTTTAACATTTTCTGTAGCTCACTTTATTGTAAGAATATAATACATTATAACATACAAAATAATATGTGTTAATCAGTTGTCTATGTTATAGGTAAGGCTTCCAGTCAACCGTAAACTAACTAGTAGTTAAATTTTGGGAGAGTCAAAAGCTTATGTAGATTTTTTTTAAGTTTATCTCTACACCCAGCGTGGACCTCAGACTCAAGACCCTGAGGTCAGGAGTTGCAGGCTCTTTTAACTGAGCTAACCAGGTGCCCTGTATGTAGATTTCTGACTGCATGCGAGGTCAGTGCCCCTGAGCCCTGTGTTCGAGGGCCTACTCACGGTCAATTTCCCACCTAAAATACACCTCTTAAAATTAAAATTTTAAAACATCCCACCTAATACAAACATACATGTCTTTTTAAAAGTAAAATTTAAAAACATACCTTTTAAAACATCACCCAGTTAAAGAAACTGTAATGATTTTTACACAAAATCTTTCGACAGCATAACATGTGCTTCTCTAGCTTTTAAAGGAGTATATCTGAGAAGAAGAGGGTCGCTGGAGGACAGGCTCGGAGAGGGTCCCTCTCTCACTGTGTCCTCTCTGTAACAGAGGCTTCATAGTACAAGGGCTTCTTTATTAACATGGTCATTCCCGCAGTTCTAAAATTCCACATTTCCGAAAGTTGTCGTGAGGTACTGCCCTGTTTATGTAGCTTTTGTTTAATGTCCACAGGGACTTTTGTGTTTGGAGTGTTTCTGTCCCCTCTCCTGTGGTAACTGCCATGTGGTGTGCGGATGGCTTTGCCCCCAGCAGCGCTGCTTCCCTTCCTCCCCAGCATTCGGAATCAGAGGCTGAGTTTGGTCTAAAGGGTCTTATGATCAAAGGGTGGGGAATGTACTGAGTGGGTTTTGTGATTTTTCTTTGGATCGTGTGGTGATTTTTCTTACCCTTTTCTGGATTCTCAGCTGTGCTCTAGACCAGCAGCTCTCCACCTCTCTTTTCCTTCCAGTGAAACTTAGGATGAATTATGTTGCATTGCTCATATATTCCCAAGGGAATAACCAGGATTAGATACACTTCTGTTTGATGGCTGTAACCTTACTCTCTTTTTGTCTTCCCAGTAATGCATTTTGGAATTCAAGTGAGAGAGAGATAATGTTCAAATTTAAACTTTAGAAAATTTCTTTCCTAATGGAATTTTAGGGAAGGACTTGCAACATTCCTCACAAATGACCATGGTGTATAAGTTAAAAACCAGTGGTATATGGAGGGAGGCTACCTTATGATAAATGATACCAAAAAATGAGATATCCACTTAAAAGTATGAAAGAGAAAAATTAAAAATCAGAAGATGAGACTATTCATTAGGTTTTTATTATTTCCAATAGTGTCCTGCTCTTTTTTTTTTTTTTTTAAAGATTTTATTTATTTATTTGACAGAGAGAGACACACAGAGAGAGGGAACACAAGCAGCGGGAATGGGAGAGGGAGAAGCAGGCTTCCCGCAGAGGAGGGAGCCTGATGCGGGGCTCGATCCCAGGACTCCGGGATCATGACCTGAGCCGGAGGCAGACACTTAACGACTGAGCCACCCAGGCACCCCAGTGTTCTACTCTTCTATCATAATAGTAGAACAAGCCCATTTAATTCATAATTTAACCTTCATTTATAGCATTTGGGGTTGAACTCTTCAATATTTGTTAACTCAGAAGCAGCGATAGAATTTTCCTTCAGAGGAATTTCTTTAGGAACTTAACAGGAAGGGCAGTTTATGGTGTGAGTTAGGGATTAAGATTCATTATTTTCTTTCCTTTATGGATATCCTGCTAACCCACCATATATTGAAAAGACACAATCAAAACCTGCCAGGATTTTGATTTGAGTTACATTAGATTTATTAATTTAGGAGACCACTTTAGGAGAACTTTCATTCTCACTATACTGAGTTATCCAAACCAGGAATATGTATTTATTTTCATTTAGTTAGGTCTTCTTTGATTTATTTTAGTGATAGGAGGTCTTATATATCTTTTAGTAAGTTAATTCCTAAGAGTTTGATGTTTGGTGCTAGTAAAAGTGGCTTTTTTTCCTCTTCAGTTTATTATTGTAATTGCAAATACATTTATTATCCAACAGATAGGATATTTACCAGTATTTTTCAGTGTTTATGCATGAGCTAATTTAGTTATAAGCAAAATATTTTATAAACACTATGCATTCAGTGATCACTCAGTTATTTTCATAGATAGTGCCACTTCAGCATTAAAAATTGACTTATTAATCTTTTAGCATACTCAAGAATTTTAAAATACTACATTGTGACATAGAATTAGAGTGTGTAAATATTATATGTCACGTGTCAAATTTCATACTTTCTCATTTGAAAATATTTTCATAAAAATGGCTTTGTTTTTTAAATTGCATTTTCTATTTGCTGGTAATACAGTTGATTTATACCTAGTTTTTATCCAGCTTCAGCTGATCCCTTGGTAAGTTAATTTCTTTGAGAAGGCAGTACATTACCTTTCAAGTACTGCCTTCTCGTATTTTTTCCTCCCTCCATCTTTGCTTCCACTTCTTTCTAATTTGCTTCTGTTACTTGGATTTTAGCTATTTCACCTTAACATTAATCTGCCAAATACTAAAATAATCGGCATTTTAAGTATACCCAAAAATTTGGTATGTCATTTTAATAAAATGACTGAAAGTTTAGCCTTAGATTTAAAACTATTTTCAAAACAAATATATCAGTGTTATTTGATTATGCAGTTGTTAGACTTTAAAAACTCATGACTTCTCTTAATATTACCTAAAATATCATTGATGGACATTATTCTACTTCAGGAAGGTATGTGAAATTCTCTGTTGTCCTTCTAAGTCTCTAAAATAGTCAAAGAACTGTCTTTAAATATTAGTTCTTAAAAAATAAAATTATTTTACAGAATTTGCAACAAGTAGGTAATTGCTTTTTAAAAACTTAGTGAAAGATAATTTGGTAGATAAGGTAAATATGACAGAGAACACCAGTTTCTGTGTATGCTTGATTAAACATGAGTACAGCGATACCAATTTCTATAATTAGTGTCCATCTGCAGAATTTTGCATTATTACTTTAAAGGTTTAAGACACACAAAAAACCCCCATTTTTCTTTTTTCTAGTTTTGCCCCTGCAAAACCAGAGGGAGTGTTCATAAAGAACAAAAACAGAAGAGCAGTAGTCACTTTGAACATTGGAAGATGCAGAATTTTACCAAGAGATACTTTGTAAATAATAATCATTGTAACTTATTTAAGAACTCTGAAACTTATAGTATGACCTGTGCTGATCTTTAATCCGAGTTGGTACTTCTTTTCAAATCACAGTATTTACGTGATAATACTTTTAACCTGTAGATTTTTCTGATTTGTTGGATACAGCTTCCTTTGAAAGATTTGGTAGGACTTAAGGGGGAAAAAACGTCTTCAGGTTGCTGTTGGGAAGTTTCCAAATGAGCTAGTAGTCATTCTGCAGTATATTTTTGTCCCATCATTTCTAACATAATATGAACTCCAGAAAAACATGCTACAGAAAGCATGGCAATTCCTGCATTGTTCAAAAGGTAAAATCTAAACAATACATTATTTCATTTCTAAAGGAAATTGTACAAAATATAGTTAACATTATGAAACATGTTTTCAGGGAAAATATATGTAACCCATAAGATGTAACTACATTTTTTTCCTATTAGATCCACCTGATACTCCTCAAAAACTGAACTGTGAGACCTGTGATTTAAAAGAGATTGTCTGTACTTGGAATCCGGGAAGACCAACTGCATTGGTGGGCCCACGCAATACAAGTTACACTTTATTTGAAAGGTAAAAGTCACCAGGGAAAGATGTCAGCGAGGAGCACTTTGGAGGGTATTAAATGACATAGGGAAATGCGATATCTCATTTATGTTATGAGTAAGATATAAAACCTAATATGCTGTATAAAATGGGATATACCATAAATACTGCAAATGACATGCACACAGACTAGATTCGTATGCTTTTTCTAAAAATCCTAGAAGAACCCTCAAATATGAACAGAGACTGTTTCTAGGTAATAGGCTTCTGGGCAGTTATTTTCATCTATTTTCTGAATCATATACATTTTCTTTGCCAAGTATATAGTGCATCTAGAATTAGAAATAAAAACTTTTTAAAAAGATTATTAGAAATTTACCCATTCATTTTTTTCCTGAAGTATTTATCTCTCTTTTAATATTTCTTATTGCTCTCTTAATTCATAGTTTTTCAGGGAAATATGTAAGATTTAAAAGAGTTGAAGCACCAACAAACGAAAGCTATCAGTTATTCTTTCAAATGCGTCCAAATCAAGAAATATATAATTTTACTTTGAATGCTCGCAATCCTCTGGGTCGATCAGAATCAACTATTTTAGTTAACATAACTGAAAAAGGTAAGCTGCTGCATAAACCAGTGTCTTAAAAATAATTTTAGAAGTGGTAAAGTGTTTTGAAATCAATGAAAAGTGCTTCTGGGGTTTCCTTTTTATAATTTTCTTTAGAGTTACTTAATATTAATTTTATAAGTTTTATTTAAAAATCCTTAAAATGTATAATTTCAAGTTTCACCATTTTATTGAATTCAGATAAAAATTTGTATGAGTCATTTATATAGAAACTTTAAGTGGCTTTATCTAATGGTTTTTGATTCTTGAAAAATTTTTGCCCAATTTTTAAAAGCTTTTTATTTTTTTTTTCAGTCTTTTTATTTTAAAATAATTATAGACTCACAAGTGGTTGCAAAAATAATAAAGCCCCATGACCTCACCCGGCTTTCTCCGCTTGTGACGTGTTACTGACTACAGTACAATTTCCAAATGAGGCAGTCGACCCTGATACAGTACCACAAACTAGACCAGTGAACTGGACTACTGACCTTGCTCAGTTTTCTCAAGTTTCTGTGTGTGTTCAGAGGCGTGTGTGCGTCGATGTGCTTCTGTGCAGTTGGATCCATGTATAGATTCACGGAACCACCAACACAGTCAAGATACAGAACTGGTCTGTCTCCACGAAGAGACTTCTGCTTGCTGCCCCGTTAGCAAACCTCGCCACACTTCCCCGCTACCCACCCCCTACCCCATGCTCCTGCATCCCTGTCCCCAGGCAGCATCTACTCAGTTCTTCATCTCTGTGTTTGAGATCCTCAGTCATTTTGAAGTGTTGTATAAATGGAATCCTACAATACCTAGCCTTTTTTCACTAAGGGCAATGTCCTTGAGATCCATCCAGCTTGCTGTGTTTATCAATAAGTGGTTTGTTCCTTCTTATTGCTAATGATTCTGGGACTTCTACCAGCCCTAGTAATATGTAGTTCAAAATAGAAATAAAATATGGCCCTTCTTCTTAGCATCCATTCCCGTGGGCATTCCACTGCGTCGGCTGCATGCGGGCTCTGCAGTCCAGAGGCCTTCTCTTAGAGCCTCTCGGTTAGTGGAGAAAGGCTTAAACCAAATGCATTATAACAGAGCCTAGCAAGTGCTTAGCGCAACTGATCTTGTTGCCCTATTTGTAGATGTAAGTACACTTCTATTAATTATTCCTTCTCATCATTTTTGTTGTTTCCTGGTATTTCCTAAGGTCAGAAGAGCTACATTTTGTACTTGAGTGGTAGTGTTTGTATTTGTCTGCCCTCCGCCTTTCGACCTTATTTTCACACGGTTCCTTCTTCCCACTCACATGGGCCTATGTGCTATCACCAGCATCGTGTGCGGCTTGTTCCACTGTTGTACTGTTCTTGCCAAGACCCAATCGGAAATGCTCTTCTGCATCCGTTTTGCCAATTTTAGTCAGATTCTTCCTTCAAAGCTCATCTTAAGTCCCATCTTCACTCGAAGACTTTCCCTACCACACTTGCATCTCAATTCCTGTAGCCGCTAAGAGCTGTAAATATGACAGAGAACACCAGTTTCTGTGTATGCTTGATTAAACATGAGTACAGAGATACCAATTTCCAATTTAGCATATATACTCTTGTTCATTGTCTCTCTCTTTTTTTTGGTCACTCTGCAAATAAATTAGGGGTTCCTTAAAGGTAGAGATTATGATCCTACTACCTTTTAGTATTCCTGATGCCAGTCTAGGAACCTTGAATGTGGTGGGTCCGTAAACACTGGTGGCATGATACCAGCAGTGAAAGTGACGTCTGTGTATGCCATGGGTACTGAGTGGAATATTGTTGATCGGTACCTAATGCTGCCTCTCTTGTTTCTTGTTGTTGGGTTTTTTTTTTGGTTATTTTTTTTTAATTGTCATTTATTGTATTCTTAAGTAGCTTTTAAAGTAATCTTTACAAATTATATTTACAGTCTATCCTCGAATTCCTACTTCAATCAGAGTAAAGGATATTAATTCAACCGCTGTTACACTTTCCTGGCATTTACCAGGCAACTTTGGAAAGATTAAACTTTTATGTCAAGTTGAAATTAACACAACTAACGCAGTCCAAGAATTGGTAAGATTTTTCTATAAACTTCCTTTGAGGTTACTTTGGATCAAATATTTTTCAAAACTAATTAAAGAAATTGATATGCAGAAGCTCTCAGATGATTTATTATAGAAATTTACTAAGAACTAAGACATTATATATCAATGTAATGACAGCATTATATTTAGCACTTGAAAACAGTTAAAATCCTGGGTATTGTAGAACGTGAGTTTGACTTTTACTACTCAGAATGTTACCAGGTCTAATATAGTACCTGGCACATGGCTGGTACTCAGCAAATTTGAACATGAATGAATAGTTTTTGCTATAACCTTTAGCATCAGTTAATGGACTGATAAGCACCAGAGAGAAGATGCGATTTCTAAAACTGCCAAGTGCAGCAATAGGAGCAAGTTCTAAGTCAGAATGTGGTCGTTATAAGTCAGAACATTACTTTTTAAAATACATTTCAGATACTTAGCTTGACTTTTGTAGTGTACCATCTTGTAATTTGTGGTAAGTCCAAAATAAAAGATATTGTAGTGAAAATACTCATTTGGAAACTTACTGATGATTGCTAGAAAATCAGTCAAATGCCAGAATATAATCCGAAAAACTCCTTTATAATTCGTAACTGGGAGCTCAGAGGATTTCCTGAGGCATGCAGATCCTCAGATTTGTTTAAATTATGTCATTTTAATTTTACATAATTTAAATAAGAATTTGTTGAATATTCTACATGTTTAGCACCATACTAGAAGTTCTAAGTGCCCTATTAAAAAAATGCATCAGATGATGCTTGCCTCAAAGAAGCTTCCAAATATAGCTGACTAATGTACTTAATCCTCAAGGTCATCTTAGATTACTAAAGTATATTAAGGCTTGTTGTATTACCATTAGCCATTGACCAGTGAACAAGATTATATCATCCTTTCTGCATAATTTAATTGATCATTATTACTTAGACCCAGTATTTGAATTAAAATGATACCTAAATATATTGTTACTACAGGGCATAATTCCACAGATTTGGTATTTATGTAAAAATTAAAATATTTTGGTGGATGAACTGTCATTAGTCCTACAAAGGTAAACTCACATGGACATTTAGTCAATTTATGTTATAAATTTGGGTGGTTTATCAAAAAAAGTGTGTGTTTATGTGTTATATATATATATATGTGGATTCTTACATGACATTACATATACGTATACATATACATATTGATTTGCTTTCTAATAGCGGAATGTCACAATCAAAGGAGTAGAAAATTCAAGTTATCTTGTGGCTGTGGACAAGTTAAATCCATATACTATATATACTTTTCGGATTCGCTGTTCTACTGAAACTTTCTGGAAATGGAGCAAATGGAGCAATGAAAAAAAATATTTAACCACAGAAGCCAGTAAGTTAATTCAGTGGTTTATAGCTGATTATTACTATGGATCTTGACATTTTACAACTTATTTTTAAAGAAAATGTCACCAAAGTGAGTAAAAGGAGAAAGCTTGAATTGCATAATTGTGTAATATCTCCTAGTAAAATATCATCCAGACATCTTAAATGGTGGCTCTAAGGTTTGTGCTCCTACGGGCAGCCGCTTGGCCTGTGTTGTGGGGAAGACCAGGCCTGTCTGCAGGATGTTTACAGCTGTGTCCTAAGATGATGCAGAGGAAACAGACTCAAAACTGTGATGAGATTATGGGTGATTTCTCTGACACTCTTTCCTCCTTTCCTAGAATTTTGGTAACCTATTTAGATGACTTTACTGAAGACAATTGTTAATAAAGAGAATTTGTTGGAATTTTTATTTGTGACCTAGGCTTGAGAAATGGATGGGGCCAGAGGTCTTGAACTTAGTTTCTGCAGTACACGGAGGTCAAAATAGGTACAAAATTAGGTAACTGGTTTTCTGAGTATGATAATTCCCAAAGATGGAATGAGATTCTATCCTTGAATAATCAGATGTCAGCTTTAAAAGTCAAAAACAAAAAAACTTAGAAATAGGTATAATTTTCGGGAGTCATTCAACAAAGGATAGCAAAAGCTTTATTTGCACTAGATAATATAGGGAATATGAAACTTCTTCCAGGGGCACCTAGGTGTCTCAGTTGGTTAAGCATCTAACTCTTGATTTCAGTTCAGGTCATGATCTCAGTGTCCTGGGATCAAGCTTCGGGCTTGATCTGCTTCGGGCTCCACACTCAGTGGGCAGTCTGCTTGAGGATTTTCTCTCTCCCTCTCCTTTTGCCCCTCCCCCAGCTTGTGTACATTCTCCCCCCCACAAATAAATGAATCTTCTTTAAAAAACTTCTTCCAAAAAATTAATGAACAACAAAACAAAAAATGATAGATGTTAATCCAGATTTTTGCCTCTCCACATGAAGGAAGGTTAGAGAGGTGGGAGAAGCTTTGTGATATATGTAAAAAAACTATTTGGATCATCAGAGCTGTGCACGAGTCCAGTGTATTTAGTTATCCGTTGCTACCTGGCAAATTACCCTAAAATTCAGTGGCTTAAAACAGTAAACATACTATCTCACAGTGAGTATAGGTCAGAAATTGAGAAGCAGCTTAGCTGAGTAGCTCTGGCTTATAGTCTCTCATGAGGCCACAGTGTGGACGTAGATAGGGGCTGCAGTCTTGCCCAGGGCCAGAGAATCTGTTTTCAAGATGGCTCACACAGTGGCTGTTCCTCACCATGCAGGTCTCTCCATAGTGCTGCAGAGTATCCTCATAACATGGCAGCTAGCTCCTCCTAGACTTAGTGAGTAGAGGGAAAACATGGCAGCCTCCACAATGCCTTTTATGACCTCACTTCAGAAGGGAGCTACCATCGTATCTGTCATACCCTATTGGTCACACAGGCCAATGCTGTTACGGTGTGGGAGGGGACCACACACAGGCAGGCTTGCCAGGAGGTGTGACCAATACTGATCCTTTGGAGACTGGCTACCACGGGAGCTTTTGCCTTCAGTTGATGAGCTGCTGTTGCCAAGAGAAAATATTTTATTTATACCTCACTGAGATTATAGAATTAATTCACTTAACAAATATTTACTGAGGGACGCCTGGGTGGCTCAGTCGGTAGAGCGGCTGACTCTTGGTTTTAGCTCAGGTCATGATCTCATGGGTTATAGGATTGAGCCCCACATTGGGCTCCACGCTTAGCAGGGAGTCTGCTTGAAGGTTCTCTCCCTTTCTCCCACCCCATTCGCGTGCATGCTCTTTCAAATAAATAAATCTTAAAAAAAAAAAAAAAAATGGGCACCCACTATGTGTCAGGAACTGTGGTAGTCACCAGGGATATAGCACTGAATAAAACAGTCTCTGCCCATGGAGTTTATAGGAATAGAGAATTAGAAATAAAGTTTTAGAAATAGTTTGCTGGGTACTGCCACAGACAAAAATAAAGCCTAGAAAGGGGACTAGGGAGAGAAGGTGACGGGAGGAGGGGTTGCAATTTTAAATAGGGTAGCTAGAAAAGACCTCACTAGTAAAGTCACATTGGAGCTGAGATACGGAGGAGAGGAGATGATCCCGGGGAGGAGAGTTTCTGCGCTCAGGAAGAGCAGTCACGGAAAGCACAGGAAGCCTGAGGCAGGTGGTCCAACACGTCTGAGGAGCCCCCGGAAGCCTGTGCTCGGCCCTAGCCGACTTGAGCAAGGGGAGGTAGGAGGATGTGAGACAGAGCAGCATTCCTTAGTCCATTCTAAGGGGCCTCTTGTTTTGTGGGCATTGAGAGCTCAGCTTTTTCATTGTTTCATTTCTGAGTGGCCACTGAACTGCTTCACATTTTTACGGAGAATTCTAAAAACGTAGGGAAAAATCTCAAGCACCACTGTCTCAATTATTGATATTATCAGCTGACATACAATACACATCTTCAGATGCTAACTTTGAAATCTCTTTCCTAGTTCCTTCAAAGGGACCAGATACGTGGAGAGAATGGAGTTCTGATGGAAAAAATTTAATAATCTATTGGAAGGTAAATACCTGATTTTCCCCTGAATATTTACATAACGATATTGGGCTAAACTACTTAACTTACGAATGGTACTTGAGTGATCCAGAAACCCGGGTTTCCGAGACTGGCTCTTCACAGTCCTGCTGCAAATCTAACCTGGCTCCTCCCAACCCCCCGGACTCCTCATCACGCCCCATTCACCACAGTCATCTTCTCTGACAGCTCTGAGCATTCTTCAGTTTGATTTCAGGAAGCCTGTAGAGGACCTCGGGATTTCATGAATTCCATCTCTCTCACTCAAGCCGGAAACATAGCAAGAAGCTACAAGTTAGAATCTCCGTTGTGTTGATGCTATGCTTTTTTCTCCAATGAGTAGGAAACTTTTTACTATCTCATATGTAATTTGTTTTCCCTTAGTTGTATTATTATATGCCACTTAAAAAGGCTTTCATGGTTTTGTACAATTTTTAGATATAATATAAACTGCATTATGGTTTCACTAGTTTTTCTCTACTAGAGCAGACATTTTTGTTGCTATAGTTTTTATCTGATTTGCAAGGATCAAACATCAAAACATCAAACATCAAAAACAGACATTTGTTTTCTATACCAGGTTTTATAAGAGCAGTCATAATTGGATTCCTTTAAATAGTGAATTTTGTTATTGATAGTAAAACATTTTTATAAAAATTTGACAGCAGTACAGCTTTGAGGAAAGTCTGTGTGCAAATTCATTGTGAGTTCCGTTGCCTTGTGATGGTCTGTATATGGCTGTGTACCCCTCTTAATCTTGATTAGAAAATCCACTGGCTACTCACAGTTGTCTGTCAGATTTCCTGATGATGTAGTAACAATTATACAGCCACTTCAGTGTGTCACTTCTCAGCCTTTCAGCTAAGATCAAGTGTAGTATCTGTTCTTAACGGTTTAATGCCTGATACGTCCTCTATCCGAAGACAATATATCACATGGGTTTTGGGAATTAGGAGAAAGGATAGGAGCTCACTCTGCCCACTCCACACATCAGCCTGGTGTTGCAGGACCATTACTTCAGTGTAGAGAAAGTTTGGGATGTTGTTTAAACTAGATGAATGCCTAACCAAAGATTAAAAATACTGAGGTGATTGTAACTTCAGAGACTAGGTTGATGGTTCTGCTGTTTGCCAAGGAGGAGCATATTTGGATGGAAAATGAAGTTGTTTGGGGTTGACTTTTTCAAAATGTATTCTAAAAATATGTGCCGGTGGGATGTCCAAGTAGAGTCTAATAGGTGGTGGTTTGGTGTGAGGCTCTGGAGTTCAGGGGAGAAGTCGGAGCTAAAGACACAGCTTTGAGTAGCATGTAAGTGGGATCACTCAGGGAGAGCATGCAGGGTGGAAAGAGGCCAAGGATGGACCCCTAGGTCTAAGTGATAGCAGCGTATAAAGGACCAGCAAAGGAGGAGGATCCAGCAGAGGAGAGTGGGAAGGTTAGAGGACAGGAAGACCAGAAAAAAATGGTAAAGCAGAAGCCAAGGGTGGGGATTCTGTGAAGGAGTGAGCGGTCAGCAGCGTCACACGAAGCCCGTGAGCCTTAGGATGGTAATGGGTCCAATGGACCAGGCCATCAGGGAGTCACTGTTATGGAGCAGTGTTTTCAGCTGAGCATTAATATCAAGGTCAGTCTGGATCAGAGGGTCCCATGCATTGTCGTATAGTCTTGAAAAGCAGTTCAGCTCCACAAATAAAAAGGTTTGAATGTTTCCTTATATCCAGTAAGTCTACTTTGGAAATCCACATTAAAGAATTAATCCTAACTATGAAAAAGAAAAAAGTATAATGAAAAGGTACACCAAAGTATTATTTTAGTATTGTGAAAAGTTGGAAACAACTTGAATTTCATTTATTTAAGGAATATTCAAGTAAACTACTAAAAATACTACATAAAATATAAAGCCATTAAAGTGTATATATTATGAACAAGTATATTATAGAAAGGTGAAAAAAAGATAAGGTTGTATGATTAAAACAATGTTAATTTAAAAAGCTACATCTTAGAAAAACAACTTGAAGAAAATATCAAAATGTAAGAGTATTTAAGAAATGGGAATATGGGAGCATTTTACAGTTTTTTTTTTTTAACTTTTGTATCGTTTCCAAATTTTCTGGTAATGGGCATGTACTATTTTAAGAAAATAATAAATGTTTTTTAAAAACTATGATGCCATAATTTTTTTTTAAGTTTTATTTATTTAAGTATTCTACCAGCATGGGGCTCAACTCATAACCCTGAGATCACGAGTCACATGCTGCACTGGCTCAGCCAGCCAGCCAGCCACCCTGATGCCATAATTTTTTATGTTTTGTTTGATAGAGCAGTCATTCCTGTTACTTTTTTTGTTTTGCTTCTGAAAAATGTGAGGCTAAGACTGGTTTGCATTTCCTTAATTTTTAAATTTCTCTGCGCTCTTATTGCTTACGGTAAGTATAGTTTTTCTTTAGCATCACTTCCCTGATCTGTCCTGGCCTCGGTGCCTCTTAAATCTGTGTCTGACACCGTTCACAACTCTCTTGATTCTGCTGTTACCTTGTCATGATTGACGCAGTGCCTGGTTTAGACTTGATGGTTTTGCCTCATCACACGGCCGGTTTTGCAGGTTTCTTGACAGAATTTATTTTTCTGTTTCTCATAGCCTTTACCCATTAATGAAGCGAATGGGAAAATACTTTCCTATAATGTATCATGTTCACTCGATGAGGAGACACAGTCCCTTTCTGAGATCCCTGATCCTCAACACAAGGCAGAACTACAACTTGATAAAAATGACTACATCATCAGTGTGGTGGCAAAAAATTCTGTTGGCTCATCGCCACCTTCTAAAATAGCTAGTATGGAAATTCCAAATGGTGAGTACTTAAGATAATGTAGTATATAAGAACAGGAAATTAAAGTGAAACATTTTAAGGGGTGTTCGCTTGCTCTTATAAGGTCAGCTCTCTTCTCATATCCCCTGCTGCTGCTGATCCATGAGGAGGAACAAGCCGATTAATGTCCAGAATTCAATGAGAGACAGCAGTTACTCATCCTTAGGGATGACTCCAGACTCTGTGCTGTTGGATAAAATAATGAGTGTACCCAGTTACTTTAGTGCATAGTGTTGGAGAGTTGTGGTGGTGGATATTACTCTTAGTAGGAAATGTTTCAGCCATTTATTTCTCCTAAGACCACGGGAGCTGATGCTATATCAGCTGGGCTGTTTTACAAATGTCAGGCAGGAAATATAATACGTATTTTTAATGGCGGCTTTGTCGACAAGACATTCTTTATTAATAGGAACCCTTTATTGATAAATTCTTTTTAAAGTCTAAATTAGATCTTCAATATAAGCTTTAAAAAGTCACCATGGTGCAATTTTAAAATTAACTTAGTGCCTTTCTTTAAATGTATTACCAGTAATCCATAATATTTAATCCATAGCCACTTCTGCCTCTTAGGTCATTCCTCTTCCAGGTCATTCCCTGCTCCCCCCCCCATTTTGCTGTCCTGTCCCAAAATGGGGGTGCCTGCCTATGACCACCCACTCCTAAAGGAAGAAAAGTTGGTGGATCCGGTCAGGGTCCTCCAAGTATCTTTTCAACTCTTTTTTTTTTTTTTTTTTAAGATTTTATTTATTTATTTGAGAGAGAGAAAGAGCACAGTGGGGGAGGGTGGGGCAGAGGGAGAGGGAGAAGCAGGCTTCCTGCTGAGCAAGGAGCCCAACACGGGACTCGATCCCAGGACCCTGGGATCATGACCTGAGCCGAAGGCAGACGCCTAACCGGCTGAGCCACCCAGGCGCCCCTGGTCCCACAGCTTTTTGATCCCGCTGCATGTCAGCCGATTCTCTATTCTTCAGCCCGTCTCCAGGAGCCCCTTCAGCCCACCCATAGGCTTGAGAGGAAGAGAAGGGCTGGTCCATCCACTTGCTCACCACTCGTTATTGTGCTCCTACTCTGTAGGTCTGGCCCCGGGGTTGGGGTTGCAGGCACAGGCCCCCGCCCACTCTCACAGAGCTCACATCCGTAGTGGGCAAGGAGAAGAGAGATTGGGACTGGCCACTCATGCTCTGCTCCTGCCTGCCACCTGTGTTGCTACCCTCCTCTAGTGCCCGCACGCCCTCAGCCCCGTCTGTCCTGGCCCTGACCTGCACACCCCAGCATGCTGCATCACCACCTGTCCGAGGTGCCCTTGCATTACTTTTTCCAGCTTCTGAGTTTATCTGTACATCCGGGTAATTACCTTTTACAGCAAAAATAACAGAGCAACACTTCTAAACTTTGCTAGAGGTTTATCTAGTTTGAGCACTCTTTTAAAATTTCTGTCCAATGAAGTAGTTTTTCTAACTCCTGCCCATTTTCATGAGATTTACTTCTGTTATTGTTTTTAATACAAGTAACATGTACTTCTTTCTTGTTGAAGATGATCTCAAAGTGGAGCAGGCTGTCGGAATGGGAAATGGAATTCTCCTCACTTGGAATTACGATCCCAATATGACCTGTGACTATGTTATTAAATGGTGTAACTCATCTCGGTCTGAACCCTGCCTTATGGACTGGAAAAAAGTCCCTTCAGACAGCACTGAAGCTGTAATAGAATCTGGTAAGATGAACTCAGAGTTGCCTCTCAGTGAAAGCTGTTACAAAATATTTTTAAAAGAGCCATACGTGGTGTGACTGGGTATAATGAGTGATCATTTTCCCCCTTACCACTGGAGTGGGTGTGAATTGACCTTTCTGGAAAGTGCCTTGTAGCAGTGTGTGTATCAAAGGGTTTGTATCTTTTTAATCTTGTAATTGTCTAGGAATTTATTCTAAGAAATAATCAGAGAGCAACACAGGATTGCATCTAAGAAGGTTCACCGTAGTGTTATTTATAATCACAAAAATTGAAACCCCAAATAGCAAATAGGAGAATGAGTAAATTACAGTGTATCTGTAAAGTGGAATGTTAAGTAGCAGCCCAGATTGTGACAAAGCAATGGAGGAATGCTCCTGAAGAAAGGAGACCATGAAGCCCTAAGCACTGTGGTCTCACCCCTCGTCCTTGGCCTCTGTTGCCCAAGCGCAGGTTACTGGGCAGAGCCGAGAACAAAGGCCTTGCTTCCATTACCACTGATGTCGGACAAGGGGCATCCGTGTGGCAGGGGGCACAGTGTGTGGTGGGGCGGGGGTGGGGGGAACAGTGCCCAGCGCCTGACTGTTGACAAGCCAGGAGTCCTGTAAGGGGAGCTGCTTTTGCTAGGAGCAGCCTAAAGTTCAGCCATGAGGAGTCTGTAGTAACCTGCAGGCTAATGCAGCCTGGTCCTTGGATATCACAGCCCTGTTTCCACCATCATTGTTCCTTCTGAGTAGCTGGTGAGTGTTCTGTGCCTCTACCCTTGGGAATTCTGGGCTGGTCCGAGTGCAGTGGTTTTTACCCTTGGGAATTCTAGAACCTGCCGCCTTGGTGGTGATGCTCCTCGGAGTCATTCCTCTGTCCTGGTTCTCCCTTACGTTGAGGTGAAGCTCAGGAGAGCAAGCAGCTGCTGATACTTCTCTCCCAGGAGCCAGTGCTACCCACTTATTTCACCATCAAATGGTGAAGATGAGTCCCATCCAGTAGATTACTCCAAGTGGGTTTAGATTATTTGCCAGTTCTACTTGAGATACTTGGTGGTCCCTTTATCCTTTCTTAGAACCTGCCTCCCTTATCAGGGTGCCTGGCACACCCCACCCTCCTCTCCTGCACCTCCCCTTTGCACTCCCCCCACCTGTAGCTGCCTAAGCCTTATGCCAACCTCGTCAACGCCATGTGAATTCTCGTCCATTTTCCACCTCTCTCACCTGGGCTTTGAGAATAACCAGGGTGGACTGGGGCAGGCTCGGTGGTGTGGAGAGGGTTCTCCTTAGACAGAGTGCCTGGGGACAGAGATTTAATCTGAGACCTGTAGGATGAGAGGGAGAACCTCCCGTGTCACGGCAGATGAGCAGAGGCCCCACAGTGGTTGAGAAAGGCTTGGAGAAGTCAGGTGCCTTGCCCAAGTTCACAGAACCAGCGTGTGACAGCACCAGGATTCAAATTCAAAGCAGTTCAGAGCCTCAGGAGACCAGGAATTGTCTCTCTTATTGACTGCTGCTGGGACAGCGCGTGGCTACAGGAGACACTTCTTGTCCCTTTCTCAACCTAGTCATCTATTCATTCAACTGTCCTGTCTATTTATGACCTCAAAACACAGGAGTAATGCCATAACCCCCACTCGGGCTCTTTTTCTTTTTAAGGCAGCAGAACCCTATAGAATATTGATATATTTCATTGTGACACTAGGTACAGATTTACTAACCTACATGCAGATTAAAATAACCTCAGGCATGCCTGTCCCCAAAGAAAAAAGTTACAAACTGATTTTAGAGGTTGGCCATCTCACTTTCGAGCTTGTAGAACCACTGGTGTTCCGTGGGAACGTAATTGAAGAATAGGTGCTCTGACCACACCAGAAGAGTTGCTTTCCACTAATTAAATGCAATCCCACATGCTGCCATTTTCCCCCCTGGCAGTATGTTCTTCCTGGACCACCACTGATGAGCTCCTCATTGCCTTTTAAGGCCCTGTTCAGATGTCACTTCTTGGTGGCTTTTCATGATATTCTTAGGCTCATTTGGTCCCATGGTAAAGGTGCCCCAGCCTGTGATAGGTCCCTGTAGTCTAGAACATTGTGTCTTGGTTACCCCCATTCATCTGTCTCCCCAGCACTCTGCAAGCCTTTCCAGGCCATGGGCCACACTGTGTCCACCTTTGTGTTCCCAACATTTCAAACGTTGCATTGTGTCGAGGTATTTCAAAAGGGGCTTTTTGAACTGAAGTTAAGATGCTTCTCTTGCGTGTCTTGTGAAATTAACTCAAGGGCACTAAATAGCAATGCTATATAGAGAATCAGACTTTATGGGCCAGCATACCTTGAAGCAGCAAGGTAGAGTGGAAAGGTTGGTATCTGCTTTTTGGCTAGGGCAGGAAGGGCTTTCCAGAGGCTTGACATGGACCTGGGATTGGCTAGTAAACTGACCCTGGCCAAATCTGGAAAGAAGTCATCATTGCTTGATCTAAAGAAACAAAATGAAAGCCTTGACCGCTGTTTTCTCCCTTCAAGGCCACATCATGTTATAATACTGTTCATTACAACAGAAGTGAATTTGTTTAATTTTTCTTCAGTAATTTTTCACTCTGAATATTGATCAATTTTGAAAATATGGCTGTATTTTTTTATGATAAGAAAACATCTTTAAAATTAGCTTTGGAGATTTCAGAATAAGTGACTATAAGTCTGGTATTTCTAAAATAGATGTTCATAGTAATATGTACTTAACGAAAGTTAATTGTGTTCCTCCTGTAGATCAGTTTCGACCAGGTGTAAGATACAATTTTTTTCTGTATGGGTGCAGAAATCAAGGATATCAGTTATTACGTTCTATAATTGGATATATAGAAGAACTGGGTAAGTTAAGTGGGTAAGTTTTCTTAAGAGTCCAAGGTAACATGAGAAATTAGAAATCAACAGCAGTTGCAAGATTGAATTCTAAAAATAGATTGAATTGACATGTTTAGTTCAAGGAAGGAAAAGTAATTTGCATGGTAAACTTAAAATTACTCGTGATTATGTAAACTTAATTTCTTTAATGTTTATATTTCACAATTTTACTGTTGTCATTGAGGAAATAAAATCCTAATTTTGATGTCAAAGAGATTTAATTTGCACTTCAACACGTTTAATAAAACCATTAACTTCAAGACCGTGTACAGAGGGGAAACACAATTCTGTGTGAGTAGCCATTTACAGATTTTGCCGAGGGTGCTTCCCCGGGTGTGTATGTTGTGAGACCCCCCTGTGTGCCTCTGGTCATTAGCATGCGAGCTTCACAGGAGCAGGGCTTATGAGAGCATCTCTGAAAGTGTGACTTACTAGAGAATAAAGCTCTCATCCCAGATTCAGTTATTTTTGAGGATACAACTCTCATTAAATGTTGGTGTCTTACTCTGTACCCATAAGCTCTCCTTTAGCTGTGGATGCTTTTCCCTTTACAGCTCCGATTGTTGCGCCGAATTTTACTGTTGAGGACACATCCGCAGATTCCATATTAGTAAAATGGGAAGATATTCCTGTGGAAGAGCTCAGAGGCTTTTTAAGAGGATATTTATTTTATTTTGAAAAAGGAGAGAGAGACACATCTAAAATAAGGGGTTTGGAATCAGGTAAGTCACTTATTACAGCGAGAACAGTATTTTCTAGAAGTTCTCATTAACCCCCCCCCCACACACACACACAAAAAGACAGAAAACAAAAAGAAAAAAACAAGGAAAGAAAAAGAAGTGCTGCTGAGTAATGTAATACCGGTTTCTAAAACTGAAAAATAGGTAAATGAAAATGTATGAATATGAGAATTTTAGGATTTTAGTATGTGATAAATGACATGTACTGTCATTTAAATTATTTTGCAGACTGATTATAAACCCCGTAGGACAGAGACCGTCTCTTAGCAATCTTGTTTGATGCATAAAATAGCATCTCACATAGGTTATTTAAAAAAAAAAAAAGTCTTTCTAAAAAAATTCTAATAATGGAGGAGAAAAGCTCAGGAACCCAAAGAAGGGCTCCGGAGCCTTGCTATTATCTGACAAAGAGCCGTCCGCACAGTTAGCTGTGGACTTGATGAGCTGGCAAGCTTAACTGACTTAATCGGGGATGTGTGCATCTATTAGATCTTTAAAAGTACAGTCAATCGTTGACAGTTGGTAAGCGTATGTCCAAAAGACCATAGAGAATTTTCAGATTTACATATACAGAGGTGTTTATGCAGACTTCTGGCCTCTCCTTAAATTATATTTCTGTTGGGAGTCGGATGTTTCCTATACATAGCCATATAACACAAGCATATCATCTTTTCATTTTGAAAGCTCTCCTTTCCCTTAATGACCTCACCTCAGAAAAAAGCCATTTTAATTATTTAATGCCTATCTGACAAGCGGAGACCACAGTGCTGCATGCAGATGCTGACTGGGCTTTAGCTAAGGCACTTCCCTGCTCAGCAGCATTAGATGTGCCCCTCCCCCACACCGCTCAGGTCTGCATTTCCTGAACCTTCACAGTTGCCTGTGAATGAGAAAAACCGTACATACAAAGTTTTACAAATATCCAGAGTCTAGTGAAATTTTTCTCCAGATGTCCAGAAATTTTACACTTGTACCAGTTAAAATTCTAACACCTAGACTTCCATTTAGACATGATGGATTGGTCACTAAAGTTAAAGAGGAAAAAAAAGCATAAAGCCACAAAAACAAAGAGAACCAGACAGGCAAGAGTACACCACATTTGGACATTTTGGGTGTGATGGAGTGGGACAGATGACCTGGAGGATGGTGAAATCTAGGTGGACATTCAGGCTTTGGCGAGAAATAATTTGACTCATCCTGTGGGCCAGGATTGGAGGCTGGTGGTTAGGATGGATATGGGCTGAACAGTGAGGGCCGACTGAAAGTCTGTAAGGAGCAGTGAGAACCCCCAAGTCGTACACGGACTTCATGCAGCTAACGTGAGTGCTTGCTCCCCTGCCTGAAGACAAACTGAACCAGAGAGCCTCCAAAGAGGGGGACAACCTAGTGAGCAGTGTGACCTTCCCTGCCCCTCCTTCCTCTAAAGGAAGCTAATAGGACATCTTCGGCTAGGCCTATTTCCCTGGATGAGATTAGGGGGTCTTTCTTTGGGGGAAAAAAAATGGTCCCTGAGGAAAGACATGAAAGGTGCTGATACTGGGGAGCTATCCCAGTGAAAGGCCAGAAATTGACTGGTCATTCCCCACCAGTGGTAAGTGAAGCCCACCAACCAATAAGCTCCACCCGTTCACAGTGACCTTTCAGTGGCCCACTCTTAACCGTGACTAGCAGCCAGGGATAACCACATGGTTGAGAAAGATTCTAACATGGGGACAGAAACCAGAAGGAATTAGAGAAAACAGATTCAGCATAGGGAAACAAATTTAAAACAAAAAACAAAACTATCCTCACATAGTTGGGATTCCCTGTATTTATTGAAAGGACCTGATGTTATAAAAAAGAACAGTCAGAAGATAGGTAAGAACTCATCAAAATTAAAAATACAATCAAAGAAAATTTTAAAGAATTAAATAGAAGATAGAGAAATTAAATGGGAGATAGAGAAATTCTTCCCCAAATTAGACAAATGCTGAGGAGAAAACCTGGAGTAGAAAGATGAGGAAGTTGGAGTACATGGAGACCTGTGCTGTCATGGGGTTTGGGGGAGGGGGAATAGAAGGAAATTAACCAAAGAAAGAGCGTAAGAATATTTCCCAGAACTTAAAGACTAGGATACACAGAGTCAAAACACCCATTAAGTACACAGTAAGGTAAATAGAAAAAAAAGTCTACACCAAGGTAGGTTGTCATGAATTTCCCGAGCACCTCATACATAAAGAATAAGTCCTAGAAACAAAAGTTGCTCAGGTGCAAGGCCTCAGGGATGGAAGGGGCCTTGCACTTCTCAGCAGCACAGCAGATGCCGGAAGACAGCACAGCCATGTCTTCAAGATACTGAGTGAAAATTCTTTCCAGCCTAGCAGTCTGTTCTGTCAGTGGAAGCCAGTGAGAGAGCAGAATGAAGGCATTTTCAGACCCGTCGAGCTGCAGATACTTCCTTCCCCGTGTCCCCTTCTCAGGCGCTGGTTCTAGAACAGTGGGTCAGCCTGAGGAAGCAAGCAGGACAGGGAGGTCCGGGAGGGCGGGAGCTGGGAAGGCCTGGGTCTGGAGCGGATACCCTGGGGAGGGGGCCCTGGGAGGACGTGGGCTGGGGTTGGGTGGCCAGTCATGGCACTGGGATTTTGTTGCGTTGGGCCATGTGGAAAATCGCATTGAATATTCACAGGAGGATGTGGGAGGAATTAGGGATTGGTACATTAAGCAAATGAGGAAAAAACATAATTAAAACAACAGAAAAGTAAGGGAAACATGAGCAGACCAAGCAATTTGTCTAGCAGGAATCCACACTTTTATGATCACAGTAACGTAAACTCTGCATTTCCCAAACCTTGTGGTGTGTCTGTGAATGATGTGGGATGGGAGGGAGACGGGGTGTTGAGAACACTAAAGCTGCACCTTCTTTGTAGGACATGCATACATAATGTCTAAAAGTTTTAAATCAAGGCACTGCCAGTGTGAGTTTATCTCAAAACATGGAAGTTAAATACGCAAAGAAACAGGCGATGGGGTTTGGCGGGGAAGGTGCGAGCAGGGAGCTGCTACTTTGTGGTGTTAGCCATTTAGCATTTAGTGCTGTTCAGTTTTTCAGACTACTGTCTTCCATTATTTTGATTAAAACTTTAAAACAGTAGTTTAAACAATTCTTCATACTTCTTTTGAAATGATTCAAAGGCTTCCCGGCTAGCAGCTCATTTGAGACTCGGTGTGCTCTTCTCCCTTGGGTCTCTCACTGCACTCAGGCAGGATGGGCCCCAGGCCCAGCAACCCCCACCCCAGCGGGTGGTCGTGCACTTTCATGCCCTGAGGAAGAGAAGGGACTTTGATTATCTGCCATATGCCAGGATTATTCTAGAGAATCTATGAAAACTTCACACAGCCCCAGGGAGGGAAGTTGTGATGGTCTGTGTCATGGGTTAGAGAAACTCAAGTTCCGAGGAATTTCCATACTAGGTCCAGACCACATGGCTACTAACTGGCAGAGGTAGAACTTGGACGTGGGTCTGGCTGACTCCACAGGCCCTGGCCGCGAGGGTAGCCAGCAGCCACTCATTTGAAAGGGATGTGGGCAGAACAGGTATAAATAGGGGTTTAAAAAATGGTGTAGAGATCAGTAATAATAATCTTCCCTTTAAAAATAGGTCGGTCCGACATAAAGGTTAAGAATATTACTGACCTATCCCAGAAGACACTGAGAATTGCTGATCTTCAGGGTAAAACAAGTTACCATCTGGTCTTGCGAGCCTACACGGATGGTGGCATGGGCCCAGAGAAGAGCATGTTTGTGGTGACGAAGGAAAATTGTAAGTTAATTATTGCTGTTGGGGTGCTTTCCGTACTTAAATGCATAAGGTTTGAGCAAGTTTTGTGTATGTAGGAAGCCCCTTTTTTAAAATTTCATGTGTTGCATGTTTATAGCGGGTAGCCAGCAGTGTTAAAAGGCCACGGGATGAGTTCATGTTTATTCTTGTCAGTTATTTGTAGCTGTTTCCTAAGAGTACTTAAGAAATTAATGCATGAAGGATATATCTTCAGTCCGGAGTTCTAAATCATGTTGAATCTATATAAAGCTGACCCACTTTACCATTTTTTTTTATAAGATTTTATTTATTTGAGCATGTGTGTGTGCAAGCAGGGGGAGGGGCAGAGGAGAGAAAGAATCTCAAGCAGACTCCCCACTGAGCTGGGAGCCCGATGCAGGGCTCGATCTCACAACCCCAAGATCATGACCTGAGCCGAAATCAAGAGTCGGCCCCTCAACCGACTGAGCCACCCAGGTGCCCCCCACTTTAACAGTTTTTCGCCCTATTCTAAATGTGATTTTTAACATATCCAGGGAGGAGTGGAAGAAATATCCTTTAAAAAACTATAAACCCCAGCATTCACAACTTGGAGACGGAGAGTAGGGAAGATGGGCTTGACTGTCTGCAGTGAAGAGCTTGAGTTGGATCACGCCATATTCTCTAGCCCCAAGTTGGACTTCACACACACTCTCAAATAAAGCACCATGAGGATATGGTTCTCAGCAGGAGGCCATTATGCCTCGTAGGGGACACTTGGCAGTGTCTGGTGACAGTTTTGGATCTCAGAACTGTGAGGTTCTACAGGGATCTAGTGGGTAGAAGCCCAGGGTTGCAGCTGAACTCCCTACGGTGCGCACAGTAGCCCCACCCACAGGGAAGAAGGATCCGGCCTCACATGTCAATAGCGCTCAGCCCCGTTCTCAAGAATTTAAGTACTAGTGTAAAAATTATTAAAATGCGTGAAGGTCATATTTTAATAGTTTTTCAGTGTCCTCGGAGCAGGTAGGATTTTTTTTTTTCTTTAAATCTATCAATTTAAGTATCTTCTAATACGAATGTATTCTGTATGTCCTGCTTAAAATGCTGATTTGAATATATCCAATATTCTCTTTTCAGCTGTGGGATTAATTATTGCCATTCTCATACCAGTGGCAGTGGCTGTCATTGTGGGAGTGGTGACGAGTATCCTTTGCTACCGGAAACGAGAATGGTAATGGTACCTGCATTTCCTCTTGCTGTTGTGTTCTGAAGAGCATGATTATTCAGTTCATGAGTTAAGAAAGAAGTGCGTGGTTGAAACCAGTCGGTAAAAAATGTTGGCTCAGTCTGAATTAATATTGGATTTAATATTAAGCAAGAATTATTGAAAGGTTTTTAAAGTAATAAAGTAAAAGGTAAACTTTCTCCTACTGTATTTACTTACTCATGATTTAAAGTGATAGCAGATGTATTAAAAATACTTATAGGCACAAATATGGCAATAGCTGTGCAAAATTACTGATTAGGATCACACTTGTCCTCGTGACTTACTTAGAAAATATTGTCATTTACTCATTTATTTAGCAAATATGAATGACTCCTCCCACGTGAAGAATAATACAGTGGGTGAACTAAATAAGTGTGATCCTTATAGACATTGAGCATAGTGGGGAAAGGTGGGCATTAAACCCATAATCATCCAGTAAACACATGCTTATAAAGTATGTGTGTACCAGGAAGGTCACTGGGCACCATGAGGGGAATAAGAGGGGGAACCCTGTCACCGAAGGTGGCCTACCACATCTTCCCTATGGGAGTTCCATTTACCACAGGGTAAGGAGAGGAGAAAGAGTATTCCAGGGAGAGAGAATCACTCCTGTGAGGGCCCAGAAATTGGAAAGAGCTTGGTCATCAGGAGACAGTGAGAAGGACTGTGTGTCTGAGTGAAGCTAAAGAGGCAGGTGGTGAGGTGAGGTGAGGGGAGGAGGTGAGCCAGGACCCGGTGGGAGAGAACACCTCAGGGTAAGCTGGCAGGAGTCATCCTGGGCTGGGCTCGGGGCAGATGGCTGTGTTCATGTATAGACGGCCCTCACTGGCATTAAAAGTGCCATCCTTTATGATAAAGAAGAGAATGTATTCTAGTAATCCTGGCTTATAAGTTAACATAGTAATAGTTTAGAACCATAGAATACCCTATTTTGGTGACCATAGTCTCATTACCAAAAATCACATTTTAAAAATTATCTTAATACAAAAGATAAAATGAGAGAGTTTAGAAGCTAGAGCATTTCAGACTTAGATTAACAAAGTTGTTTTGTTTTGTTTTTTTGCAGGAATTTCGAATAATTAAACTTCTTTTTAACAGCTATACTATGCTATGGCACTGAGCAAATCTCCTTTTTGTTTGCATTTTGTTTTTGCTCATGATTAGTAGCCTTTTCCCCTCAGAGTCCAGACCCTGTTAGGAGCAGCAGAGACCTGCATAACACACATACGCCCCTGAAGTACTGGACCGTGCATGATCCCACCCGCACTCTGGACATTCGATTAGATGAGCGGTGACCCTGTTGTACTTTTGACCTGAGAGCACAATCACCATTTGAATCCTTTGCTTCCATTTTCATAAGATCCATAAGATATTGTGGTTCTAGAAATAGAAGTGGTGCTTGTCGTTTTCAAATAGGAGCCTCTCGGTGCGTTGTACAGAGAGCTTAATGACTGATCACACTAAAAATGGTCTTGCATTGTTGTCTCAGATGTTCACTGAAGCGTCACATGAAATTTCAAAATAAGCCCAATGATTTACTAACTTATTTGTTGTCTGATTGATAATCGTGATTATTAAATGTACTTAATCATCTCTATTTAAAGGATTAAAGAAACCTTCTACCCTGATATTCCAAATCCAGAAAATTGTAAAGCTCTACAGTTTCAAAAGAGTGTCTGTGAGGTAATCCTTTCTTTTCTTAAAACGTTTATCTTTTAGTACTGGCTTCCTTTTTTTAGTCTTTTGGGAGAAGTTTTTAACATGCAAATATCATCTGGAGGACAATGTATTGAGCAAAGAGCATCTTTAACATCTGCTGAACTGCTCTGATGAATGTTAATGTGTTTTTACCATGCTCATTTTTTCCACTGCTATTAATAGCAGGGAACATATTGATATGTAAAAAAGTAACTTTGGGGGCGCCTGGGTGGCTCAGTCGTTGAGCATCTGCCTTGGCTCTCGGCTCTCAGGGTCCTGCGATGGAGCCCCGCGTCGTCGGGCTCCCTGCTCAGCGGCAAGCCTGCTTCTCCCTCTCCCACTCCCCCTGCTTGTGTTCCCTCTCTCTCTCTCTCTCTCTCTGTCAAATAAATAAAATTAAATTAAAAAATTTAAAAAAAAAAGTAACTGTTCTAGTATGCACTACAGAATAGTAGAGACTCATTTTGGTAAGTAGCTGTGAGAAGAATATTTGAGATAAAGCCCCTTTTTGTAGGAAGGGCATTTGCAGCAGCTTTTCGCGCTTTTCTTAATCAGTGATTTATAATTTATTTCTAGGGAAACAGTCCTCTCAAAACATTGGAAATGAATCCTTGTACCCCAAATAATGTTGAGGTTCTGGAAACTCGATCAACAGTTCCGAAAATAGAAGACACAGAAATAATGTCTCCGGTAGCTGAGCGGCCAGAAGAAAGCTCTGATGCAGAACCCGAGAACCACGTGGTCGTGTCCTATTGCCCCCCTGTCATTGAGGAAGAAACGCCGACCCCGGGCGCCGATGAAGCCGGAGGGACCTCTCAGGTTGTTTACATTGATATCCAGTCTATGTACCAGCCCCAAGCGAAGCCAGAGGAAGACCAAGACAACGACCCTGTCGGGGGGGCCGGCTATAAGCCACAAATGCACCTCCCCGTCCCTGCTGCTGTGGGAGACCTCGCAGCGGAGGACGACTTAGACAAAACTGCAGGTTACAGACCCCAGGCCAATGTAAATACTTGGAGCTTAGTATCTCCAGACTCTCCCAGGTCCACAGACAGCAACAGTGAAACTGTCTCTTTTGGAAGTCCCTGCTCCATTAACTCCCGACAATTTTTGATTCCTCCTAAAGATGAGGACTCTCCGAAATCGAATGGGGGAGGGTGGTCCTTTACAAACTTTTTTCAGAACAAACCCAACGACTAACAGAGTCACCGTGTCACTTCAGTCTGCCATCTCAGCAAGCTCTCCGTTCTGGCGTTCCCGGGCCAGCACTGGGCATCTTGGAGGGATCCTGTGAAGTATTGTTAGCGAGGGGGACCTCACTGCGCGCAAGGCACACTCCCAGGTGTTCCTGTGCACCTAATGTAGTCTCACAGCCAAAGTCGAGTAACTCAGAAATTCAGTCCATGCCACTCAAGTCTTGGAGCGATCCGTGACTGGAGCCAAAGAATTCTCACGTGCTCTACCTTCAGGAAGCCCTTTGTGGCTAATCCTGTCTGGTCCACACATGCAAAACAAGTCCCCCAGCCGCGTGTTCTGTTCTGCTAGTGGTTTTCTCATACGGATGCATTATGGAATCGCAAGCCGATTTACAGGCACAGGAAAAAAATGTCAGAGTAACAGATGATGGTTATTTGCCTGACCCTTGCTCCATTCTAGACGAAAACCAAGCACAGATTTCAGAACTTTCAACGTTAGTCTCCTCTATCCACAGCACTTACAAAAAATTAATATAATTTCTAACGTAGTGACAGCTATTTAGTGTTTTGTTTGATAAAGTATGCTGATTTCCGTGCCTACTGTATAATGGTTATCAAACAGTTTTCTCAGGGGTACAAACTTTGAAAATGAGCGTGACACTGACCAGCCCAAATTAGAATCATGTTGTCTTGCTTTGGGAGGTTTTGCAGACCATCCCCTTACTCTCTAGCATGCATGTGAACTTCCCTTCCTGCAGTTGGTTGCCCTAATATTTAAGACCGAAATTTCTAAGACTGGAGATCTGAGGTTTTTTTTACATCTGTTTTTTTTTTTTTTGTAACACAGTGTCAGTTTTATAAATACAGGAGCAAATCCAGTATTACCGATAAACCTAGAATTGCAGTGGTTTGACTCTTTGAGGTGACTCCTACGCAGACGCTCGCTGCATTAGCTCTTTGTACGGTTCTGACTGGCTTCAGCGCCTCCCGAGAAGGCCGTGTCGTGGAGCCCCAATCACCCGGGCAGCGGTGACCAAAGGTTCCTCCTGATCAGGCATTTTGGCCATTTCTCCTTGTGAAATGATCATCAGTCTAGACTATTTGACCCAGTCCTCAAATGTTTAAATCTAAAACTAAAAAGATCATGCTTCCTACAGGAACAATTCCTCAAGGGCTATTGCATGTGAGCTGTGGCAAGGTCCGTTTGAATCGGTGGGCGTGCCCGTGTTAAAGGTGTGGTGGTTGATGTGTGAGCTGTCCCTGACTTCCTGTCTTCACAGCCTCCCCGCCCGCCCTTGCTTTTTGTAAGTGATGTCTAGGATGAATGTGGGTTTTGGAAAAGCAGAATGAACTAAAAAGTGTACCTTAACATCTCCCCCACCCGCAGGTCGTCTTTGTATTTTGTCTTTTGAGAGTTAAGGCAAAGCACCAGAAAAATTGGAAATATCTGAATACATCAGGATGTGCCTGTTTTTCTTTTCTTTATTTAATCATATGAGCTTCTGTGATGATAATGGATTGGTTATCCTTCTTTTCTAGGTCCTCATGTTTCTTTATAAAAACCATGTCATGGAAAAAAGCCACAAGGTGACAAGGGGCAAATCTCTTTGGGTACTCTCTGAATCCTGATGGTAATTGCTAGAATTCAACTAAATTCTAGAGCTTCATGATGTATGGACGCATGGAATGAAACAGAACTAGTTATGTACACGATTAGTATATGTTAAAACCATGGAATACCTCCTAGAGATTTTCAACAATGAAAAATGTCTCAAACCAGAGCCATCCCTGACAGTTTGCTGCTTTTATTTATCCTCTTGGGCTCCTCTCCTCAGCTTGCACCCCAGACACTCAGAACTGGGGCTGCCTGCATTCCCTGCTGAAGCTTGTCATTTCCATCCCCGCCTCTTGCCCCCAGCTCCTGCCTTGTTCACCATTGAAGCCAGTGGATCCTGTACTTCATCTCTTTGGGATAAGTGTTGGCCAAGGTAAAAGTTTATTGGTCTGAGCTACACTAAGCTGAGAACGGGGAAAAGGCCAGAAGCAAGTGTTGGATCTCTGTCATCAGTATATATGCATTGCAGCTGTGGCCATCTGGATGCGGTTCCCTTTCTAACCTATATAATGACTCATTTGTTTGGCTTACGGTGAATATCACTGGGCTCTTGAGTCCTTTCACCCTCTCCAAGACTTCAGTGCTTTTACTGCATGAGAAAGGGTTAGAGTGCTGCTCACCTCTCACCTTCCCCTGGAGTTCCATACACAGCGATCACTAGGTGAATGGAAGCGGAGCAACACTGTTAGTCTGGGCAAGCTCTTTGTAACGTGCTGTATGCCTACAAGTATGTGGTTTAGGGCTGAGGCCAAAGCAGGTTGCTTGTCTTTCCCCACTGCGTTGAAGACAGCCAGACCCTCTGTGCAAATCCAAAGTCATTACCTCCCGCCCCCCCCCCCTGCCCCTGCTGCCCCACCTGGGCATGTGGGGGCAGCCTCAACACAGGGAGAGAAGACACCTCCCTTTGTCACATACCCGGGTGTTCGTGGCACCTGGTAAATAGGCACTCTTTGTCAGTGTCAGGACCATGCTCAAGTGTGAAAAGCATTCTTGTAGTTGGTCACGCACTGTTCCAGTCATTTTAGCCCCTCTCCCTGGAGGAGGGGACACTAAAGGCTAGTTGGAGGGGGAGGCTAGATGTGTTCCCTTCAGCCCTTCCCAACTGGCAAAATAATTGGGAGATCCCTCTTTCCTCAACTAAAGCCTAGTCATTGGTTAGAAAACTCTAAGTATCTGAACTCATTTATGCCCCACAATGTCTGTTTAATAATAGTCCATATTAGGACACATTTTCCTATCTCGCATAAGCCAGTTCACTTACAAACCAATTTCAGATCAAGCCTCCCTTGTGAGGAATGATGGTCATTCTGGTGGTCATTTTGACTGCATTTCTCTTGTGAGTGGCCCTCTTAGATAAACAATATTTAGTATAAAAGTATTCTTAGAAGACTTAGCTAGAATTTTGACAGTAGGTAGAGCTTGTACATTATGTACTGCATGGATTAGTACCCATATACAGTTGAAGTCATCGATGTGTTGAACTATAGAAGCCTGGATTTGAGATTGTGGCCCCGGGTATCTGGATAGTTGTGTGTTTATGTGCTTAGGTGATAGAGGTGCTGTGTTCCTACAGCTTAGACTCAAGCAGCCATTCACGGAAAAGGTTAAGGGCGAAAGGATCAGCCTCGTTTTCCATACCAGCATTACTTTCACGGCTCGTGGATCTGAAGGACTGCATTTAACACCTAGTACTATTGCACTCAGAAATTGTGGTAAAAGTCACATCGTTAAAACTTCAGGCAACTTGTATTCTTGTTGGAAATCATTAGTCCTGTAATTTCTTAATTGTCTTCATGTGGTTCATGTATAAAGAACTTGGCAGTCCTTTCTGCGTTTGAATAATTAGATGTAGGTTAGTGAAGATTAGGGAATATTTTCTTCCAAAAGGAATTTGAAATCAGTTTTATAGTATTTTGAAATTAAAGTACTCCCTAACATATCAAAATGTGGAAAATGTTATCTCAAATTTTTTGACAGCTCAGGCACATAATCTGATGGGACTTTTTTTTTCTATTTAAAGTAATTTTTACTGTTTTCTGTGTTGAACCACTTAAAATTTGCATACCTTTTATAAAATGCCCTTTTTTCTTATCTTGAAAGTCTAAAATTAGGCATCCCCAAAGTCAAATGTGAGATCATTAGCTAATTCCAAAGAAGACTAGGTACATGGTGGAAATTCAGTGATTGTTTATTAACAGAATCCCATTCCAGAATGTGCAGTTTTCACGAAGGGTGGTTTATACCGGGATCTAGCTTGTGTAGATCCAAGACTATTGGCTGAAAGATTCAAATCTACTCAAGAAGTAGCTCCAGTTTGAGTGAAAACTTGGGAAAGAGTCAGGCAAAAGCATCAATAGATATCTTATTCCTCCCTCATTGTGAGAATCCATAGCGTCTTTTTATTTAATGGGTACAAAACTTGGGACGTGTTTGTATCAACCAGCATTGTTCTAGCAAACCAACAAGACATTGATGTGTGAGCTTAACTAATTATAAGGACTCGTGCATTCTCTTGATAAACTCTTTCTTCAGAGCATTTATTTTAAACTGGTATTTCCTGCTGAAACAAAATTCCATGGTACCATGCCCATCCTACCTTTTATATCCAGAAGAAAATTTTTCACAGAAAATGATTTTCCAAACTTACTGGAAATGCATCTTTTAGACATGACCTTAGAATATCATTGGGAATCACTTGGTTTAAATTTGGTCTGTTTGTCTTTGTGGATTATGTACCAGGGCTATTAATATTTAAACCTCTTATTTTGATAACGTGGTGAGATTTTTCTTTTCAGTTTGTGCCTTTGTCTTAACTATGACATGATCATATTCATGCCAGTTATAATGCGAATGAGCTATTTTTAGTGCCTGTATGGAGGATTAAGAAGAACATTCAGTTAATTGATAGGTCAGGCTGTAGTGTGTGTGGTAAAATTCCACAGGATGTGATTTGATCTAGAATATACTCAAATTCTTAAAATTATGATACTGAGTTATGACAAGTTTCTGTTATTTTTAACCATGAGAAGTGCTTGTTTTTCCCTATATTAAGACTGTTAATATTTTGGATTATAAGTGTCCAAGTTGCAGACAGAATTTACCTATGCAAGATAAATTCTAACTGTGCAACATTTTTATGAAAGTTAAAAGTAGTGTTTTAAGAGGGAAACCTTCTGAAAGTTTTCGTTACAAGTGCCTAGCTGAAGAACCATAGAAAAAATAAATTCAGAATCTCTCAAATAAGTAAGCTTTCACTGATTGAATATTAACCAAATACAAAACAGAAGTAACTTACATTACTTTTTTATTGCTGTAACTGAACACCCTAAAAACTAAGAGATGTGATGGGGGGAATGAATATTTCATTGATAAGGAAATTAATTGGTATTACATTTACATATATTTTCTAAGATTTCCTTTGCACTAGCCAGTCAGATCTTTAAAAAAGCTAAACAACTAACAACAAAGACCTTATGCTGCCCTTAAGCCAAAAATACTTTGTATACCTGGTTGAATGGCTTATTTAAAGGTATTGAATTTCCTTACACATTTAAAATGTACTTCCCTTCAGAATTACTCCATTTTAAGCATGGGTAACTTTCAATTTCTGAACTTCCTTTTCCTCCTAAACATTCCATTATAAGACATCAGAAAGATTTCTAGGTGGTAATACAATTTTCATTGAAACATGGACAAGTTAACTGTTAGGTTCAACAGTATTTTGGCAATCGATCATACAAAACAATACTAAATTTTCATTAAAAAATGTTTCAAATATTTGGCCCCCAGTTTGATTCCAAAACTTTTTCCCATGATTTATGATACACCCTTCTATTTAATTTTTTCCTTCTGACATAATGTTTTGGAAAAAGATGAATATGTTATGAATAGTTGAAGACAAAACACAGTAAGAAACACCTATTCAGGTCGTTGTTGTGGCAGGGTAGGTATTCTATGCTACCTTGGCGTTTGTGCTTTCCTATTATTTCCTCAAAAAGGAGCATGGCTTTTTCTTAAATACATTTCAATTCAGAATTGCTTGAAAAAGATTGGCCTGGATAGAAAGACATCCAGAATTTGAGATGGTACCACCTTTACAAGTATGTCCAAAGGCTGAAAATCATTTAAAAATACTCAACTATCCCAAAAGAATGTGTTGCCTTTTCTTCTCTCTCATTAGCTGGCCATAAGTCAGTGGTCTTCTTCACGTTTAGGAAATTGCCATTTTTTTACTCTCAAAATTGCATTATAGTGAATTACTGTTTACAAAATACACATACTGTGAACAGATAGAAGTTTTTGTCTTTTATAAGGTTGTCTGTAGAATGAGTGTCTTTTTAAAGGGGTTATATGTTAAATATTTTCAGTTTTTTTTTTTTTTTATAAATACTAGTAACTGTTTACTAATTTTTGTTTGGTCAGGTGTATGCAAATGTAGCTGAAAGATAGGGAGAAACTGCACATCCAAAATGTCCCATTTTCGTTTCTTGAAACGTTAACCACTACAGACTTTCTTTGTTTAACCCAAATTATCATTTGTGATGTTCTGTACCTAAAATCATGCTTAACCGTATAAGGAAACCTTTAAATACACACACAGAGGAAACAAACTATAGATTGCAGTATATTGGTGTGATTCAGTCTGATTCACAGAATTCCTAGTTTAATATGGAACAAAACAACTCCCCTTAACAGAGATGACAACTGAAGTATTTTCCGCCTTGTGAAAATTTGAAGATTATGTTGCTGTTAGAATGGAAAATTTGAACATTTTATATCATCGTATAATTTCAGAATTTAGTTTCCGTATCTTTTGGAGAACATGGTTATATCAAGAACATAGAATATAAGTAACCTATTACTAAGACACCTTAAACATAAAACTAGTATGCTTGGCTGTTAACTCTAAAGATGTTACTTATGTTTGTTTTTAAAATGCATGTATTTAACAATTTTATCATAGTATTGTCATGGAAAAATAAATATATTTTCTTACAACTTACACTGACGGATTTAGGCATTACTGTTTGTTTTTTCTCCTGTCTTAAGCACTTAGGAAAAAGTAGCCTCTACTTTGTTATTGTTAATACTTTTGTGAATTCTCATAAGAATTACAGTGGTTTATGAAGCAGTAACACGGGGCTCTAACTAAATTTTTAATATTTTAATACGTTGGTATGCCATTGACCTAATCTTCCGTTTGTTCCACTAAATCTATATTCTGTGTCCCAGAGAAGTTAGCATAAAAATAATCAAAAAGTGGGAGTCCAACATCATAAAACAAAAAATGAATACTGGTCCTGAAAGTATGGTTTTTAATTTTTTTCCTCTGAAGACAACCTAAACATTTCTGGAGATTCTGGGAATACAGCAAAATCAGTTTAATTTCAAGTCACTGAATTTGGAAATACAGTCATTGATTCAGCAAAACCTCAGCAATTTTAAAGTATAAGGTGATCTTAAGTAGCATTTCATAAGGGGAGAAATTAAGCCTTTAGTCCTGTGTAGCCTGTGCTTTACCCAGAGTCACAACTAAAATATGAATGGGCTACAATTTAACCTGAAGAAACCGTAGACCAATTTTGAATTAGTTGTGAAACACATGTTCGTATTTAAGTCCTAGAAGAGTGCATACATACGACCGGTCTGTCCTTCGGGGAGATGTCAGTGCATAATTTGTTTCCCAGATGGTGGATTCTTGAGCCAAAATGTGTAAGCACCATCCACCCCAGGAACTTTGAAAAGGTCAGAAAGAGAGGAATGATACAAGTATTAGGGGAAAGAAAAGTAGAGCTGTATGAATTTTTTCTTTAATGTGTAGAATTCAACATCACTAAAATGTTAGTTTACAAATCAAGTTCTTTACAAAAGAGCTGTGTAAGAATTAGTTTTGAATGGCCTATAAATTTGATCCATTACCCTTCCCCTGGAGTGACTAACAGAAATACGGAATTGAAAGCATTTATTCAATGTCTGAGAACCAGCAAAGTTGATTTAACAAGAGATGTCTTGAACTGATTTGGAATTAAATTGGAGTGGATTTTATCCCAGAGTGATTAGTCTCAGATTAAAGAGAAGAAAAGGTTTTGAGGATGATTTTGATAAAAACTGGGAAGTGGAAATCATGTTAAAATGAGTACAAGTGGACTGTACTGGGCCACTCCGACATCTCTCAACTTCCCAAAGGTTAGAGCGAGGCTGAGGTCCCAGCTCAGATGGAAATCTCTCTCCCCCCGGGGCCCCTTTCTCACTTTCTCACTGCCCTGGAAACATGTCTTCGCTGCAGACAGCCTTCCAAGGCTGGAGCCAAGCCTTCAGCTTCCTGTCCCTCGAGGTGCTTGCACACACCCCCACTCACCTTGTCCTGGGGCGGGTTCCGATTCGAGAGGCCACACTGCCCAGTTACCAACAGCCAGCAGCACACACCCTTCCCAAACAGGAGTCCAATTTTCTGTTCCCGTTGGTGGCTCCCTTCCTTTCCTGGGAGGCCAGGTGGATGCCGCCTTGCCTGAGCTGGGCAGGCCTGGCTCCAGGCTGCGTTCACCACCTGGTACCCGCACACCCCACCCCCCGCCGGGGGAATCAGCCAACCTCTCATTCTCCTCTGCTCAAAACGGTGGGGCTTGAGGACCTCGTTTTGCAAAGTGGTTGTGAGGATTCCGGAGAGTGTACGTGACGCTCCCAACAGGGTAGATGTGGGATTGTTACCCGTGCCTCTGTCCCTCCAGGAACCTCAGGAATGCCTCTTTCTGACCTGCACCTTAAAGGTGTAAATGCCTTCAACTCGGGTTAGATGCCCCTGAGGTCACATCCCACGGTTACCCAGAGGGGTGTTACATGGCAAGAGGCCTGCTTAGATGGACCGCGGGACCCGTTCCACCTGCTGGAACGCTGGACTCGATCTCTCTCCAGCCGGGTAACTTTCTCCATCCTCACGTCTCAGGCTAAGCATGGCTGGCTGAGAAGTCTCTTCCGGTGTCTCAGCAACCCCACCTCTCCGTGCACCCCACTTCTGTGCAGCTCGCCCCCCCCCACCTCTCGGAGCACCGAGCACAATTCTAATGCTTTCTTTGACACAGAATTTGAGGGGCGTCTCAGGTGCCACTGCACCCACGGGGCTCGGCACAGTGGCAGCCACATGACAAGGGCTTGGTCCATACTCTTGAAATAACGACCTTGAAAAGCCAATACATGACAATGTCTTTCCTGGATGTAGGAACTACGTTACGGTACAGAGAGGTGACCCGCCTGGGGTCTAGTCTCCAACCATGGAAACACAAGGGATCCCCGCTGAACTCGCATGCCTCAGACGAGGCCCGGAGGCTCCCTGGGGTGGCCCAAGACGCTCCTTCCCACGTCCACTGGGGGAGACATTGTTCACCCCAGGTGCTCAAGTCTTTGTTGCCTGCCTTCGTTCTCCCTCAAGGAAATTCGCCTTCATCCTCAGACCTGCTTGACAAGCGCAGGTAAAGGATAAATAGGCTTTACTGAAGTGACCACAGGTGAGAGCCCTCCTCCTACCCACCGTCCAACCGCACCTCCTCCCCGCCTCGAAATTTATGCCATTCTCTCTGGGTCTGTACCCTTCCAAGTGACCACGTGCATGACGAAGTCGTCTATGTCTGTCGCCACCTCTCTTCCCCCGTTGCATATCTGCTTCTCCGGAAGACAAGCCTTGCCTCAGGTCTCAGACAGTCACTCGGTGGGGTAGGTAGGTCCTGGTACGTCGCACAGGCCTCCACCGAGGGGCTAACCCATCTCTTCTCTACATCCCAAACTTTCTTCTGGCAGGACAGGCCGCCCCAAAGAGCTGGGCCCGGGGCGCCAGCCTCCTCCAAGCTACAGCCTGCGGTCAAGGACGGGAGCGCGCCCTTCCTCCCAGCGCCCAGGGAGGCGGCCTCTGGTGGGCGTGGCCTGGGTCACGTGTCCGCCCCTGGGGCGGTCACGTGGCCGGACAGAGGTTCCGTCCACCGGCCGCTTGTACAGAAACTACACATTCCGAATCGGAGGACGAACAGCCCCCCAGAAGAAGAGGGGTGATATTCTGAGTGAACAAAACAGTATTCACTACAGCCTCGCTCAACTAGAAAATAAAAAGGAAAAAAAATCACGCTGTCTTCTTATACAGCATTAGCTGTTTTTAACACTTTGCCTTTTACCCTTTCAGACGTTTTTCCTGTGTGACTGTGTGTATATAAATATTTACACATTTCCATAAATATGTGTGCACATACATGAGGGTTATATTGTATATTCTGTTTTCAAACCTGATTCTTTTATTTAGCTTATTTTGAAAATCTTTTTTATATCAATGGGATATTTATATGGCATTGTTCTTTCATGGATATATAACACTCTCGTGTATGGATATATTATTTAAATTTCCTATTCCTTATTCCTTATTGAATTCCTTCGTTCTTATTCATTTATAAAACTGTTGATACTTTTCATTAAATAGGGGATGACTTTGAAAGCCAGGCAAAGATGTTTGGCACGGATTTGGCTGGGACTAAAAACCAGCACTCGAGCTTCACACAAGGAGTCACTGGCACGCTCTACTCAAGCACTCTGCGATCGACTTTTCTGTGCCATTAAACGGGTCTTTTCCTACCAACTAAGGAAGATTCCAACCTAAAGCGGAGTTTTACTGCTCACACGCTACTTCCTCTAGGGTGCGGTGCGGGCGGGGCCCGCAGGAGCTCAGAGTGGGGACTGCTCAGGGCTCCTGCTGGCTGGCCACTGGAAAAGGCAGCTGCCGGCTCAGGGCACCCACCCCAGCAGCTGAACTCCATCCCGGGCCCTCAGTCCTTGGTAAGGATCCTTAGACCCAAGGGAAACAGGATCTTCAGGAACTGTAATAGGGATTTTGAAATATTTTGACGCTCTCTGGGAACAGAAGTCCCTTTATCCCGGGAGTCTTTGTCGGACTCCTAGTGTAGGGAACTAGAGACAGTGGCGCATTCTTTAATGGGAGACACGTGACATGAAATGTGTCTTAGGCAAACAAATCTGGTTTCCAGTGAAGTACTGTGTGGAGGTGGGTTGATGAGCTGTAGTAGGCAGAAGTCCAAGACGGTCCCCAAGATTCTCAGCCTCTGCGGCACAGGCCTGCTACCATCCCATTCCCTGGAGTGTGAGCCCGACCCTGAAGGAGACAAGATGTCACTCCCATGATTAGGTTACTCATCAGTCGACTTGCCCGTTAATAAAAAGGAAGATTATCCAGGGTGGGCCTAACCTAATCAAGAGCTCTCGCAGGAGGGACCGGGCTTGCGGAGAGTCTCCTGCGGGCTTTGAAGGAGCAGGTGGCCCTTGAGCATGCCAGACGATACCACAGCCCCAGCTGACACCTGGATTTCAGGAGCCGAGTCTTCTCTATCCTTCATCTTCTCCCCAGTGTCTCGTTCAGGGGTTGGTTCCCACATAGCAAATCCTCGGGAAATGTTCACGAAGCCAATGTGTGTTGGCACGTGTCTATGAAAGGGAGCGCCAAAGCAATGCTTGGGAGGACCCAGATCATTCTGCATCCTTCCATCCTAACCACCCCAAAGCCTCTGAACAAACCCCAAGGGCTTCAGGCTGCCAGGCAAGAGGCAGTCAGGTCACTGTGAATAAGATCCCAACACTTGGCAAACCATTTTACCTCCCCAGCCCTATTTGAGAGGCTAGATCAGGCCATCACTTAGCTTCCTTCATTCGAGAGCTCATAGATACGTGGCCCGGGCAACCAGTGGGCCCATTTTCTGCTCTGACAGTCCCCCATATCACACCCACACTCCCCCAGGTGCCCTGTGAGCTGAAGTCCAGTGGGAACACAGGACATCTGCAGCGAGGGCCCGGGTCACTGTGCAGCAGCCTTGCATCCCTACCTCTCTCCTCCACGCTTTCTGGGTCTGACAGCTCCCTCCCCTGGCCTCTGCCTTCCTGAAGCCCATTTCCTTACAGGGCTTCCTGCAGCTCAGCCCTTGGCCCGGTGCCTGTTACTTTTGTTGCTAAATGAGG